CAAAAATCAAGTTCTCTAGTAGAAAACCAGTCCAGAAACCCAATTCCCCGATAATCAATTGTATTTGTCTCACCGCAACCGCGTTGATTCTTTTCCCCTTCACCCAAATCTGTTCTTTTTCCCCATCGGTGTTGAGTGGGCTCGATTTAGGTGGACAAACGAGCCAAAACCGTTAGTCATCACACCGATCGAGTACAGGTAAAAGGAAAAAAAGACGCGCAAGGCTCATTTTTACTGTCACATGTTTACATTCCATTTCAGTACGGTTATTGATTAGAGAATTCAAGTATTTACCAATTCTTAGTGAATTACTGAACTTACTCATTACTGAACAGCTAAGCAGTAAAGCTTATTTGACGTTTAGTTGTACAATACCACAATAATAGTAGAATAAGCCTACTATTAGTAAGCTAGTTTCAGAAATTGTAATTCAGAGGAGTTTTACTGTACTATTTGCTTCAAGTATTGTTCAACGAGAATTCAATTATAAATCCCAATTAAAGTTAGTGAAAACTCATTATTAAACAATAAATTTTTAGTTAACTAGACAATTTATTTGATTAAAGATAGTCAGGCTTTGACGAAGAATAAAGTTTGTTTAGCAATTGGAAAAGAAAATCGATCAACTCCAAAAGAGTCTCCAGGAAATCAATCTATTTTTCTTTTCTGCACCTGAATTTTAGCGTCACTTTCAAAATTAACAGAAATGTCAGTAATTCAGAGGAGTTTTACTCTACTATTTGATTCAGGTATTAGCTGTACACTACTACAAAGTTGTACACTATTAGTTGTACATTACTCAGAGGAGTTTTACTCTACCATTTGGTACTACTCTACTATTTGGTTCAAGTATTAGTTCCACACTACTACAAAGCCTACTATTAGTAAGCTAGTTTCAGAAATTTTCAGTAATTCAGTAACTGTACCATTTGATTCAAGTATTGTTCAACGAGAATTCAATCATAAATCCCAATTAAAGCTTGTTAGTGAAAACTCATTATTAAACAATAATTTTTAGTTAACTAGACATATTTATAGTCTAAGTTTGAATGTATGTTCTGTTACTTTGTGGCTGGAAAGTTCTGTTACTTTTGAAAGCAACGCTAAATTCAGGTTCAGAAAAGAAAAAGGAGAAGTGAAAACAATAGTAAAACAAATATTTATAATAAATATATTAACTTTTCCTCTTAAAATTAAGCGTTTTTCGTAAAGATTCATCAAAAAGATGGGTTTTATTATCTTTCCAAGCAAAGCTCTCTGTTCTCCAGGCTCGTGGATCGAGCTGACAAATCCAGTGATTAAAAAAAGCTGGAACACAAAGCTTATCCAGTTAAAGCTTATCCAGTTTTATATACAAAAAGAGGAAATATTTTTCTTTAAAACTAGCCACTCTACAACTAAATTGAGCTAGAAATAACAAATCTACAGCCATTTTTACTAATTTCAAAATTCAAAAATTATTGCTAAGTTTCTGAAAAAGATCCTTTATTGAAACCGTTAAGAGAGTCTAAATTTTTAAAAATTTGATTCCATATAATAAAAGTAGTTAAATTTTCCAATAAAATTTATTACCTTTGTTCTTTTGTTAATCGAATGATGGTGAATCGAATTTGATTTGATTTGATGGCACTTCTTTTAAAAGTAACAGAACTTTCCGCTTCTCTAGTAAACTAATTTTATGAAATGTATTGTACTTGTACTGGTACTGGTTGTACTGGCTTCATTGTACCATCTCTGTGTTATACTGGTTTCATTGTACCATCTCTGGCTCACTTTTCCCATTTGCCAATTTACAGGTAATCCATTTCAACCAATGAAATTGCATTTAACCATTTCACTTAACCATTTCAATAATTTCAATCAATCCTGTTCTTTATGTGCTTTTAGCTGACTCTTTATATGCTTTTTCCTTTTTGATAAACCTCAATCAATTTGTAATGGTAGTTTAGAGAAAGAAAAGAGGCAACAACGGTGGTCTTGGCGAAAGAAAGACACTAAAGACCTATGGAAAAAGGTCCAAAAAGAGATTTGGGGTGGTCAGTGAGTCCCTTGTGCCTGGTTCCTCAGCTAGAGTGCGGTGGGTATGGGGAAAGGGGTACCAAGGCCGTGCCTATCGATCGCTTTCCCTTGTCTCTCTTGTCGCTCTCTTCATCTAACCCTTCCCTTTTGCCCAATTTCCCGTTGTCTCTCCCAAAACGACTCACTCTTTTTCCCCTTCTCTTCCTTGTCTCTTCCTTTTCTCTTCCTTGTCTCCCCTTTCCACCCCGCACTTCCACTTCCATTCAACTCCCCCATTCACCCCCACCCCACTATCTTTTTGGTTCCTGGAGTTGCTAGGAATTTTTGTATACTATTATTTTATCATTTATTTCTATTATATTCTAAATATGTGACTTTTTTTGGTTAAAATTTCTTTCATTGAATTCATTGTACTTTGCTGTTTAAAAATCTAGCTATGTTTCAAAATTTTTAGGTTTTTATTTAAAGCTAAAACTAAAGATCTTGTTCAAGCTAAAGGTTTTGTTAATTTATTCAAAGTTTATATGAAATTTATTGCTTATTGAATGTTTTTTTGTTATGTAATCATATCAAAATCAGCAGTTAATCGACCAATTTGTTCAGCTCTTCATTCCTAACATTTACACCATTTATTTATAACATTTATAAACTTTAAACAAAATTAAACCCAAATCAGCAACTCATCTAAATCTTTAACCTTTTTAAAACCATCTTTTTAGAACCACCTAAATCTTTAACCTTTCATTATTAACTATCAACAATAACCATCTCATTTATGATGCGTGAGCAATTCATCTTATTTGTAAATGAGCTACATTTATCCACAAAAGTCTCCTTTTCCAATAGTTGAGTCCCTTGGGTGCCCTAAAACTTGAGCTAGAGCAGAATAGGAGATTTCTGACGCCATGCGGCTGTCACTTGTGATTTTGCTAAACCTAAACATTCGTAAAACAGTTTAGATTAGCTAATGTACTCGAGGTTAAGCCTGATTAAAGTACACCAAACCTGATCTTATTTTAAAATAATCCAACTCTTAGCCTTGGAATCTAACTGAATAATATCTTAACACAATTTTACAACAAGACAGAACTTGTCAAAGCGTAAAAACTGAGCTGCAAGTTCTGAAATCTCTTTGATATTTTCATAATTCATCCCGTTTTCTTCTTTTTATTCACTTCCACAGATTTCATGGAATGAGACATAGAGACAAGCACAAACATACCAACAGATCCCCTCCTTGTCTCGATTTTCCTCTTTTTCTCGTTTTTTCTCCCAATCCTCGAGTGAACCCTGAGCTCTTTGAGCTCTACAAAGACCGGCTTTTTGTTGTGTGTGGGGGTTTTCCCTTCTCCTTTCCCCCCCTCGGCGAGATCCAAGCACACCCGGTCTCATTAGCAGCCAGCTTGGGATGAGATGTGTGTGCTCTTCCTTTCCATCTATCCATCCCATTTATCCACTGATCTGATCTGCCAACAACTAAACATAGAAATGAGAATGTGATGGGATTTTTCACAGCAGTATTGTCTAAGTCATAAGTTTAGTAAAAAATAACTACAGACCTAGGAAATTCTAGGTTTCTTAAAACTATTAAATGCTCAGCAAACTGTTCTTGTGCTTTGGAACAAAAGAAATGGCTAAGTTTAGATAAAGCTCACAATCAGGCTAAAGTCTTGGTTTAAAAAAATGATTGGTACTGATGACTGACTAGGGAACTGTTTAGGGAACCTGTGACCAGCGAAAACTTTGGAAAAACACTTCTTTATGATTATTATAGTGCTTTTAAAGCAGTAATTAGTTATTTATTAAAGTTTTTCTATATCTTTCCGAGACATTTACGGGCGCTTTACTTAGAAACACCTTTGGCAATGCCTTTTGTTACAAACACCTTTTTTTATTGGAAAAATAAACATTCGAAACTCTTTTTTGACAAAAAAGGTCAAGAATAGCGGCAAGCGGGATTGAACTCGTGAGCAAGAATGGCATAGATTTCGTAGTCTAGCAGATTATCCCCTAGGCCGTTGCTGCTTCTACTGGCTTGGCGTGGCTATGGGTAAGATCGCGGTTTACCAAAAATTGCTGAAACTTTGCCATTTTTCTCGAAAACCAGGCCCTGAGGTAAAAATAAGAGAACAAGTGTTTCTTAAAATTCTACGGGGGTGTTTTGTAGCTAGATTCGGTAGCTAGTTAGTTTTGTAGTTAGTTTCGAAGATTGGTGGGAATTGGAAACAGTTCCCTAGCGAGATAGGCAATTGGTTCAGCTTTACTTTTGTAGTTCTATAGAGAAGTTGTGCAAATTCTTAGACTCTTACAATTGTTGATATTCTATCAAATATCTCTCTCATAAAGTTTAGTCTTCAGCTAAACTTACGTCAGAATCCATAAACCGCTCTTTAGAATGGAACAAAACCGAATCACTATGAATCAATTTTTGGTGTCGATCAGAAGAGATTTCCCCCTTGTTTCTTTTTCTCTTCCTTTTCTCTTTTACATTCTACTCAATGTCTTTATCCTACGAAAAGAAATCCTCTATTCCTTCTCGAAATCCGATACCAAAAGCAACGCCTTTGAGGACACAAAAAAATGGGAAAAAGAAAGGGATTGGAAAGGGAAATGAGACGAATACAACTCTAGAGGGAAACAGGAGCTAATAGTTGTATTAGTGGATATTTATGACTTGTTCTTTAGATACATTTCTAAAGTTTAAATTAGTACAAAGCTAAACCTCAAATCCAATAGCTTTTCTGATTTTTTAAGCTCAAATTTTCTTTGCCAGTTTTCTAAGCCATCATTACTTTTCGCTTTCCTTTTTCTGATAATACAATTTATATTTTCGTTGATGAATGCTTTTCCAAATTCTACTTAAGTACTTATTTCTATTTCAGGACATTTCAAACCCTCATCCCCACCCCAGCATTATTCACTGATTGAAACGGGTGTCGGGAAGGGTTCTCTCCTCAGAGATCCTTCATCTCAACGAAGAGATGGCCTCCCATCCAAGCCATTCAGCGCTTGATGTCATCGATTTGAATTCACTAAAGGTTTGTCAAGACTTATTTTTGTACTTTACCGTTATGCCTCCGCATTTTATGGCGTTTTGTGGCGTTTTGTGGCGACATATTAAGCCGAAGAGTTAGTAGCAATGTCCTGAATTAAGACAAATGGAAAAATCCACAATAAGCACTATTCACAATCCACATCTTGAGCTTTGGATTAATAGGATTCCTGAGAAGAACTCAAAGAACTGTTCATTTTGTAATATTGAGTCAAATGAGTTCCAGATTTCAATAGGATGTAGAGATAGACATTGAACAACGTAACCGTTAATAAGCGACTCTATTCAAAAAACGTTCACAGGCAACCGATTTACTTAAATTAGAGATGAAAATGAAGAGAAATGTTCACTGGTCATTTCTCTGAAAACAGATTAAAGAAATATTGAGTTTGAAGAAAGTTCAGAATGTTTTAGCATGAGAAATTGCCAGGCTCACCTATAACTCGGGAATTAATTTGCATTTAAAGGTTCATAACTTTCTTCAAAGTCAATCTTTTTTCAAACAGGTTCCAGATAAATCATCGTCAAACATTTCTTTTCATTTTGACCCCTAAATTAAGTAAATCGGTTGCCTGTAAACGTTTTTAGACGAGCTGGAAGGGAAATAACTTACATAAAAATTGGAAGCAGTTTAACATGTTAAAGTTAAAGTTAAAGTTTAACATTGTCAACATGAATATGTTAAAATAGTTTGAAAAGGAATTTTCAGGATCCCGCCGGTATCTTCGAGCTGATCGAGGTCGTCGGAAATGGCACCTATGGACAAGTTTACAAGGTAAGTCTCAAAGACTCAGTTTACAAGGTAATTTAAGTCTCAAAGCCGTCTGGAAGACGAATTGACTTTCCAATTTGATTAATTTCCACCATTTTCATTCAGGGACGTCATGTGAAAACGGCCCAGCTTGCCGCCATTAAAATCATGAATATCAGTGAGGAGGAAGAAGAAGAAATCAAGCTGGAAATTAACATGCTCAAAAAGGTTTGTAAAAGTGGATAGATTTTTGAGTACAAACTTTTCAAAAGCTTGTCCTTGATCTTAGCTCAACGAAAACCGAAAACCCATTAATCTATTGTGGTGAAAAAAGCGATCGTTATCTTGAGGGAAACGTTTGACTGAAGAGAGGCTTTTCAAAGGGTTTAGTGGTCAATGACATATCAACTAATCATTGAGAATCACCTTTGGGAAAGGGGATTTTTTCTGAAAACGAGGTTGACGTGTTTGAGCAAAGAAATGAGGTTAAAAGTCGTTTAAGTCTGTGTAAAACATGTGTAGAATAGACAAAATCTAGCAATTTGATCACTGCTGAGCTTAAAGGTGTTTAAGCTTTGAAAACCGAAAAATATTATAGGACAAAAACTCTAATAGAACGACCGAATCGGCTCTAATCAGCGCCGCCTAGTCTATGTTTTCGCCGATTTTCGCCGATTTTCAATCATGTTTTTCTAAGTGCTGGTTAAAGCAAACAATATGTGTTATATCTCATAAAATTACCCATTCTTTCTACTTGAATTTGATACCTAAGCGCACAGAAGGAAACGTACTGATGACAAGATATGAGCGCTTGTTTGAAAGTAAACCTAGACTACGCTCCTATAGGGTTCTATTCGAGTTTTTACGATACTTTCATAAATGAAAGCTTGTGCCAAACTCTATCTGGAATTGTTAATCACCTCAGAAATCAGAAATTGTTGAAGCTAGCTTTTCTAAATGGATTTGAAAGCTAATAAGATTATTTCAGTATTCCCATCATCGAAACATTGCTACCTATTACGGAGCCTTCATCAAGAAATTACCCTCCTCCACTGGTAAACATGATCAATTGTGGTTGGTAATGGAGTTCTGCGGATCGGGATCAGTAACCGATCTTGTCAAAACATGCAAGGGAGCAATAAAAGAGGACTGGATTGCGTATATTTGCCGAGAGATCTTGCAGGTTTGAATTATCAAGAGATCTTGCAGGTCTTGCAGGTCTTGCAGGTCTTGGTCTTGATCTTCTAAATCAATCTCTTCAGGGTCTCTACCATTTACATCAAAACAAAGTGATCCATCGAGATATTAAAGGACAAAATGTTTTACTCACTGATAATGCTGAAGTGAAATTGGTGGACTTTGGAGTGTCGGCTCAATTGGATAAAACTGTTGGCAGAAGGAATACGTTTATCGGAACGCCTTACTGGTGAGTTGACGGATTGGATAGCTAAAGCAAAACTCTTAAATTGTTTATTCTGGCTGCCCGATTTATTGATTGAGTTGGTTTTCTCAATGAAATTGTTTAATAGCTTTTAAAAGTTAAGTCAGACCAAGATTTGATTAAAGATATTTGCCATAGAAGTTTTCAACATCTCGCTTAAAATGCTTTTCTCACGGAAACTCAGAGCTCATGGCGTAGTGGATAGAGTGCTTGTATACAAAGCGAGCTATGCATTCTTTTCTCGGGTTCGAGTCCCGGCCTTGCAATTCTTTTCGTTTTTTGATTTGAATGAAACTAATACGAATATATCTTGTTTCTTTTCATTTTCTCTTCTATTGCGGCATTAGTCAGCTTAGTCGATCCATAACTACGCCTTGGGCGTCTAGCGATCTGGGAAGCTAGGGTACTTCCCTTCTGAGCTTCAAAACTTCAAAGCTTCAAAACTTAAGAGCTTCAAAACAAATTTGTTGTTTTAGGATGGCTCCCGAAGTGATTGTCTGTGATGATAACCCGGATGCCACTTACGATTCAAGATCGGATCTTTGGTCATTGGGAATCACGTCCTTGGAAATGGCTGAGGGACATCCGCCACTCTGTGACATGCATCCAATGAGGTAAGTTGACGTGTAACTTGAAAACAACTTCGCCCAATGGTCATTTAAAGTTTAAATAATTGTTTTTCAATTCAGTAAAAGGCATTACCCAGATTTTCTATTCATTTTTCAATTTAGAGCTCTTTTCTTGATCCCCAGAAACCCGCCACCCCGATTGAAGCGAAGCAAGAAATGGGGAAAGAAGTTTGAATCGTTCATTGGTGAGTAAAAACTTCGATAATGATTTTTCATATTGTAGATTACAAGCTTTATGAAATTTATTAGACTTGTAACAAAAACATCTGTCAGTCCTTTTTTTTTGCCGTTGGCAATTTAAGGTTTTTCGTGTTTTTCTCAGCACCAACTCTTTGATTTTGACCGTTTTGACTATCATTCGATGCAGAATAAAATTACGCGTCGAATGATACCAAAATAAACTCAAAATATAATATCCATGCAAAGTTGTTGGCTAAAAACCTAAACCTCGCTCATTATGGGCGGGCTTAATCTTTTGCCTCATAAATTTGCGTGGATATTACATTTTGAATTGATTTTGGTATCATTCGACGCGTAATTTTATTCTGCATCGAATGATAGTCAAAATAGTCAAAATCGAAGAGTTAGTGTTAAGAAAAACACGAAAAACCTTAAATTGCCAAAGGCCGAAAAAAGGACTGACAGATGTTTTGTTACAAGTCTAATATTGATGATTAATTTAGAAACCGTTCTCGTGAAGGACTACCATCAACGACCATACACCGATCAATTGTTGAGACATCCATTTGTGCGAGATCAACCACCAGAGAGAGCCGTGAGAATAGCGATCAAAGATCATATTGATCGACATAGAAGGATCACAAATAAGAAAGGTATAGTAGCTCTGGTGTTTAAAACCCAATTAACAACTGCTTTCAGATGAAGGTGAATACGAGTATTCTGGCAGTGAAGACGAAGAAGGAGGACCACCAAAACCCAACAACAATCACGAGAACAATCGCGAGTACATTGCTAGAGAACGTTCGTTGATCAGTGCAAAGCTGAATTTAAAGAAATTTTAGGACCCGAAGCTCCATCAATGATCCCAGTTGATGACACTCTGAAAAAAGGATTCCAACGAATTCAGGAGAATGGACGACTCTTCGAACAAGCCGGTGCTCCACAATTGAAACGGGTGGCTGCTCAACCACGAACTGGAGCTTCTCCATCACAGAGACAATCTCAACCCCATAAGCCTTACTTGTGAGTTTGAAAGATATAGATAAAGATATCATAATTTACAAATCCAGTAGGTGCAAGTTTTTGAACCTAAAAGGTTTTCAAGTTTTAATCCTTTACAGGTTTGGATCAAAATCAGTCAATTTTTAACTCTTAAACAAACAAACAAACAAACCATTTTCAGATATGGTCCCGATGCCAGAGAACGTGAACAAGCCGTCAAAATGAGAGCTCAAGCTGCCGCTCAACAGAGACCTGGAGGAAATGGAGAACCGCCAAGAGATCGACGATCACGACCAATCAGCCATCATCAGCGGTAAATTTTTTTGATGATTATTGTCTACAATCATTTTCAGATCCCCACCAGCTCAACAATCCCATCCAGCTGCTCCTCATTTAGCTGAAGTTGCCAACTATGATAGAAGGAGACGATCTGAGAGGGAATACCGTGACCGAGAAAGGGAACACCGGGATCGAAGTGCTCATTCACGGCAGCAACATGCTCCATCGAGTGGAAGGATCATGCCTACTGTGAGTCTGAATGAGTCTGGCTTTGAGATAAGGACGTTCGGAGAAATTTTGGTGTCATTGAATGAAAAGTAGATATTGAGTTGGGGTTGGTGCCTACCCAATGTCTAGGGTAAACTGAAGGACAATTGTGACAATCGTGTCGGCGTAGATAGCCCAACCTCAAGCCCTTTCCGACACAACAAAGCTCTAGCTCAAACCAATTCAGAAAACTATGCAGGAACTATTCAGAAAACTATGTAAACTATGAACCTTGGGTAAATACAATTCGGTACAACTCTTTTATACATCCACATCGACTCAACTCCTTTATACATGTTCTGCTTGATCCACTAAAGGAGTTTGACCAAAATTGTATATGCTTTTGCCTGAATATTTTGTACTTCTCGTTGAAATTGCAAAAAATTCAGACAAAAGGGATACAATTCCTTTATACATTTAATAATTTGGGGATGTATAAAGGAGTTGAGTCGATGTGGATGTATAAAGGAGTTGTATCTACAATTCTTTCATAGATAATACGTTCGCCACACTTATCCAAATCCTAAAGGTATCAAAGACTAAGAAACTAAGACGTGGCAAGAGAACGAGATATATGCAAAAGCATAAAGAAACAAAGAAATTTACAAAGCGGTATTGTGGGAATCTTCAGAAAAGAGCAACTGATCCTTTTTCTGAAAAACTTTTGCGACAAGGAAGTACCGTTTAGGAAACACAGACAAAATAAGTGCGAAATAGAATTGACGTGCAACCATTGGATAGTTGTAAAGTTCAAATTGAATACTTTGTTTCCAGGTAAATGTTGGAATGCCTCATCATCGAAAGATGTCCGAACCTCTTCTCCATCCACAACAAGCTAGACCGGAAGATCTTGATGTGCTCGCTCATGAATTGTCAAGAATGGGTGGACGAGAAGGGGAAACATCGGCCAGTCCTCCACCACCAGCTCCTCCACCAAGAGACGCCAGTATTACAAGTGGATTTGAACAGGATGAGGTTTGAGCATCTTTCAAGCAATTAACCTGTACTATTCCTTCAATATGAAAGCAAATGTTAACACTAGACTTGTAACAAAAACATCTGTCAGTCCTTTGGCAATTTAAGGTTTTTCGTGTTTTTCTTAACACTAACTCTTCGATTTTGACTATTTTGACTATCATTCAATGCAGAATAAAATTGCGCGTCGAATGCTACCAAAATCAATTCAAAATGTAATATCTACGCAAATTTATGAGGCAAAAGGTTAAGTCCCGCCCATAATGGGCGGGGTTTAGGTTTTTTGCCAACAACTTTGCATGGATATTATATTTTGAGTTGATTTTGGTATCATTTTACGTACAATTTTATTCTGCATCGAATGATAGCCAAAACGGTCAAAATAAAAGAGTTGGTGCTGAGAAAAACACGAAAAACCTTAAATTGCCAACGGCAGAAAAAAGAACTGACAGATGTTTTCGTCACAAGCTTACTTAACATTTATAAACACAGACTTACTATTGTTTTTTTCAGGAAGCCCCAGGAACCCTTCGCGGTCCTAACAAACCTCTCCCACCAACTCCAAACGAGCACACACCCGATGAAGAACATCACCCAGAAAACGGAACTCTTTTGGGACGAACAAATGGCAATGGAAATCAATTGGGCCGAAGTCCAAATCAACATCGACACATGGTCAAGGTAAGTCCATCAGAAATCTTTCATAAATCTCATTCACTCTCCAGTTACGTCACTCCTTTTCGATGGTAAGTCGTAGGCATGAGCATTTAGTTGAATGATTTTCGTTCACTGAACATCAAACACTTTCAGTTTACAAAAATAACCAAGAGAACTGTTATTTACTCATGAACATCGGGCTGAGATAGGATTTGGCTTATGAATAACAGTCTTCTAAAGAAATTCATCAAAGAGTTTTCTATTCAATCAAAGCAATTTTCAGGCAGCTTCAATGCCTGATTCAACGACATCAACGGTTGAAGCGAGATCGCCCGAATTTGGAATTGGAGGCGCCGACTCGTCAAGCGATGATGAGCCACATTCTGATGAGGACAGGTTGGATTTTTGACCATTAACATTAACTTTAACCGAATCCGACCTAGCTTCCGAATCCGATCTAAGGGTTTTTTAAAAGACAACTGACTTGGTGCCAAAATAAAAGATGTGCAAAATATATGAATTTTATATCATAAAACAAATTTCAGCTTATTTGGTATCGGTAGAAAATTTTTTATGGCCGCTCAAAGTGAATGTCCAAAAATGCCTTAAAAATCGCTATATAAAATTTACCCCTGAACCAAAAAAGTCGTGTAATGGCTCATTTTGTTGCAAATTTTACGTAGATTCTTACAGCAAAGCTACATCTGACATTTCTCTTTTGTAAATGGAAGAAATGGCGCGCGGGCTGGTTTCAGGGGACCCCCTAACTCAGAAGCAAGGAGTGATGTTAGTCCGCACAATTTTTCTCCCACTTTCAACCAATAAATGTTTGATGTAGCTTTATTTTAAGGATTTACATCAAATTGGCTTTAAAACAAGCCATTGTACAACCTTTCTTGGTTCAGTGGTAAATTTTTTATAGCCATTTTAAGATATTTTTGAACCTTAACTTTGGACCTACCATAAAAATTTTCCTACTGAACCAAATGAGCTGAATTTTGTTTTACAATATAAAATTCATATATTTTCTACATCTTTTATTTTGGCATCAAGTCAGTTGTCTTTCAAAAACCCCTTGAGTTGGATTCGGACGCTAGGTCGGATATGTTGTGTCCGATTTGGAATGAAACAATCTCAAGCGCTACAAGCACGTGTTTTTACTGTTATCTTGACAGTTTTTATGGATCTATAAAACAGTGGTAAATTTTTTATAGCCATTTTAAGGGATATTTTATATAATATTTTAATATTTTGTATATCGTATTCTCTCTAATAGTAGTGCACCCCACCTAGCCAAGTTAATGACTATTTTACGGTTTCCACGTTTTTGCAGAAGCTCAAGACTCTAATCCCCCACAAGATCTCATCGTCAACTACATTTTCCGACCCCACATCGATAGGTTCTGATAAGCGCTTTTCGAGATTTCGAACAATTTAGGCAGCGCTTAGGGTGCACTACTATTAAAGAGAATACGGTATATTAAACAAGAAAAAATACTTTCCTTGATACTTTTATATCATAGTCTAATATTTTATATAATATTTTAAATCTCAACAAGCCAGTGTAATTTTTAAAGTACTTTAACTGCTATACGCTTCTCTTCATCACAACCATTGCAGACACACTCGTCAAAACCCACTCGCCATGCCCGATTTATTACCGAACACCCCAGAAACGAGAAGGCCATTCCAATCGGAGAGTAGCATGGATGAAACGGGCGGAGAAGAGGTAAAACTTATCCTTTTTTTAAAATCAAAACATATAATCGGTTTCGTTTTTGTACAGATCCGGTCACTCTTTGGCAGTTTCTATGTAAGTTCTGTATCGAGAATCCCGATTTACATCCAGTACACATGTGAACATATCGTGATCTACCTCTAGCTTCTACCCTATTAATGTAGATCGTAGTGATTTGTCAAGTTTTTGATGTTGAAATCAAAAACTTGACTCCTAACTTCTAACTTTCTAAGTTTTACGCCTAAGTTTTCCTTTCAAATGTGGAATCGTGGAATCTTTTTGAAATTTTGTCTCATTTTGGTTGTAATTTTATTTCGAATTTCGAGAATGGTTCATTATTTACACAGAATTTTGTGTTGTCAAGCAGAGAATTTGATTCTTATGGAAAGTTTTCATTTTCAGTTCCCACACAACTCGAATGGAGGCTCAAAGGCATCGCTGACGAGCAGCCAGAATTTCGCTCAACAGAGGGAAAGGTTTGTTGGAAAAAATCCGATATTTTAATCAATCTAACCATTTAACTAGCTACCGTATTTTCTCTAATAGTAGTGCACCGTAAGCGCTGCCTAAACTCCTCGAAATCTCGAAAAGTGCTTATCAGAACCTATGCGTTTAAGAATTTGAAACGCACTTTATTTTTAAGTTAATCTTTAATTTCTTCATTCCAGAGAGAAATCGTTTGTCGGCTATTTTGGAGGCGGAATTGGTTCGAGTGGAATGGGAGGTGGGACGGTGAATCGTCCGGGACGAACACAGGATCCTCTGTCACAGGTGAATCTTTGATCAGAATTAAATCTGAAAAAAGCAAGCCAAGATCTGAGACATTAGTGTTACATTTAACTTCTGGATATTGATTTATTAAGTTTCAGAACCTAAACCTATTAACTTTTATCTAACCACTTGTTCAGGTGCAAGTCAACGTGAACCCATCTCCTGCTCCAAATGGAACTTCTGTCGATCAAGATGCGCCGGAGATCCGAAAATACAAAAAGAAATTCTCCGGAGAGATCCTTTGTGCAGCTTTATGGGGAGTGAATCTCTTGATTGGAACGGACAAGGCGTTGATGCTTTTGGATCGATCTGGGCAAGGAAAAGGTATGCACAAAACACTTACTAGAGAGGCAAGCGCTTGGCAAGCCCTTTTGAAAAAGAGACAACTCATCTCATCGAATCGGTCACGTTGAGTTCGATTCTACTTTTAGTTGTTGCCCTAGAGGCTTGTAACGCAAGATATCTAGCTTACAAGTTTTGGTTTTTACTTTTGATCTCTATTTGGGGCTTCCACGTCATCCCTTAAAATGTGGCTGCATGGCCGAGGGCGAAGTGCTCTCGGCACAGGTTTTTTGCCCTGATGAAGGGATGACGTGGAGGTCTCAAATAAAGATCCAAAAATGACAACGAAAACTAGTGAGCCAGATATCTTGCGTTACAGGCCTCAAGGGCAAAAACTGAAAGCAGAATCGAACTCAGCGTAGCCGATTTGATAAGATGGGTTTAGTCTCATTTCAAAAGGCAAGCGCTTGCCTTTTCCCAGTTAGTTATTACAAATATTAAAAAGCCTATACCCACTGATAATCACAAATTTAGTCTACCCACTCATCACCGGACGTCGTTTCGAGCAAATGTCTGTGCTTGAGGGTCAGAATATTCTGGTGACAATCAGTGGACGGAAGAGACGAATCCGCGTCTACTACCTCTCATGGCTGAAGCAAAAGATTTTGAGAACAGAAGTTGGTGTGAGTAGTCTAAAAGTGATGAGAAATCTAAAAAAATGCTTAATCTTTTCTTTTAGGGAGCCGGTATGCCACAAGAGAAGCGAAACGGCTGGGTGAATGTCGGAGATTTGCAAGGAGCTGTTCATTTCAAGGTTTGTTCTAGGATATAAATTCAAATATCTATAAAAGATCGAGTTCTTTTAATTTCAAATCTTTTTAGATTGTCCGCTATGAGAGAATCAAGTTCTTGGTTGTCGGTTTGGAAAACACGATCGAGATCTACGCATGGGCACCAAAACCTTATCATAAGTTCATGAGTTTTAAGGTAATTTGATCAGAATTTAAAGCTATTTACTAAAAGCTATAGTTAGAGTAAGATTTTCAATAAAATAGCAATACTTTTAGTCATTTGGTTCGCTATCTCATCAGCCTCTTGTTGTTGATTTGACTGTTGAAGAAAACGCGAGACTCAAGGTTTGTTTGAGCAGACTTTTACAATACAATCAATTTCTAAGTCTTATTTCTAAGCAAAATGGTGGACTACTATGGAATTTACTATAAAATCATCTTGTTTTAGGTACTGTATGGCTCACACGAAGGTTTCCATGCTATCGATCTCGACAGTGCTGCCATTTACGACATCTACACACCGCCGAATGCACATTCCGAGATGACGCCTCATTGCATTGTTGTCCTGCCAAACAGCAATGGAATGCAACTATTGCTGTGCTATGATAGTAAGTAATTATTACGATACTTTAAACGGCAATACCGTATTTTGCCTAATAGTAGTGCACCCTAAGCATCGCCTAAATTCCTCGAAATCTCGAGAACCGCTTATCAGAACCTATCGATGTGGGGTCGGAAAATGTAGCTGACGATGAGATCTTGTGGGGAATTAGAGTGTTGAGCTTTTGCAAAAGCTTGGAAGCCGTAAAATAGTCATTAACTCGGCTCAGCGGGGTGCACTACTATTAGGAAAGGTATTCAAAAAGGTATTCAATCCGAAATTCTGTCAAGCGACGACTAAATATACTCAAAATTTGTTGATCTTTTGCCCCGAAGATCTTTGATGGGTTTGTTAACCCGGACAAACGTTATGCAAGAAAATCAAACTAATGCCCGTTTTCAGATGAGGGAGTCTACGTGAACACCTACGGGAAACGTGCAAAGAGCACGACTCTTCAATGGGGAGAAATGCCGTCCAGTGTCGCTTATATCTCTACGGGTCAAATCATGGGTTGGGGAAATAAAGCGATCGAGATTCGCTCTGTTGACACTGGTTAGTTTCAGAACGATTTGCGCATTATTCGTCAATGATTCAACTCTTTAAAAACATTTTTTCAGGTCATCTTGATGGAGTCTTCATGCACAAAAAGGCTCAAAAGCTGAAGTTCCTCTGCGAAAGAAATGATAAAGTGAGTTGGAGTTTTTTGAAGGATGAAAGGTTATCATATTTTTATCCGCTTTTGTTCATTCTATCGAAATTTGATTTCTTATCGAATTGGGTAATTAAGTAGTGCTAAAGCTAAAAGAAAGATTGCGGGATTTTCCGTAATTATTACAATTAGCTTTACAGCTTTACAATTACAATTAGCTTGAGCTTGAATGTCTTAAGAATTCAGTTTTCTGAAAGTTTGTTTAGCTTTGCTAGCTTACGATCAGTTAGGATGATTCACATTGTTAGTTGAACGAGCAAACTGTAAGTTGTGAAATGTTGCAAATATTAAATGCAAATGATAAGAAACTGTAAGAATCAATCAAATAATATCTGTAAGGGACAGGGGATCTCAGAGAGAGACTCATAGTGAGTCACGATCGTTGTTGGTGAGTCACGGTCGTTATTGGTGAGTGACGATCGCCATTGTTATAAGCTTCTTGGAAGGAGGGCTGTCTTGTGCGCCTATAGCTCAACGGTAAAGCTTTTGCCCGGAAATCGAACGGCCCCAGGGTTCAATCCGAGCATCAAGGGCATTCCGTTTCAGAGCTCCTAGCAGAACTTTACTTATCCAATCATCCCAATCACCATACTTATCCAATCAACCTTTCACTTCAGGTATTCTTCTCGTCAGCAAAGGGTGGTGGCTCTTGTCAGATCTACTTTATGACGTTGAACAAACCCGGTATGACTAACTGGTAAAAGAAATGGTGGACACGAACGCTTTTCATTGCTTTTTATTTCTTGATTCCTTGAGATTTCCTTTTGTACATACCCAATCGCCTCAATCGCTTTGCCACAATTATTTTTCTTCAAAAAAAACCCTTTCACTCTTGACGCTAATCATGGATTTACCCAGTCTGCTCAATAAAAAGTCGCTTGCTTTCGGAGACTAAAAAGAAACTATAGAAATTACATAATTTATTGGATTACGGTAGAAATGGTGTACTGTAACCATTGAAATCGATGGGATTTCGGTGGAAATCGTGATGCACTACAGCTACCGTAATCCGTTTTAAACCAATCGACTCTTTGCAATTTGCTCACCCCTAAAATTTCCCATATTGTCGAGAATCAAATGTCTTCAGTTTTCTTTTGCCTATTTTTTTCAATTCTCAAAACTGATTGCAAAATGTGCCCTGAACGTCTATGAAATGATATCTTTTCAATGTTATTTTATATGGCTTTGAATTTGTGATAAATTCATTTTAAGCAATAATTACTTGATTCAAAAACACTCAAATTTCAAGTTTTTATATACTGAAATTCAAAAATCTGTAAAACTTTATTGTTCCGTTTTTGCGCAACAATAGCACGTAGTGAAAAGGAAACGAAATATGTGAGAAATTGAATTATTTATCTTTTGTCGACTGGCCATAGCTTGGTAAAGCGTTCTCCCGGTAAGCGACTGGCCATCTTGATCAAAAGTTGACTAAAAACAAAAGAAAATCTCATTCCACAAAAGGTTTTTATTGTTAGCAAAGTAAAGAACAAAATGTTGGCATTTTAACGATAAGTGATTAGAATGAATATTGCCACAACTGATGAGACTTTTTAATACTCACATAGCGAAGATATTTAAAACTTGAATTTATCAAGCCCGGTTCGTTTCGACTAGATTATCGATAGAAAGGCCGGTCAGACCAGGCCAGACCTGGCTTTTCTTATCATTCTGAGTGCCGCAAGAGAAGGTGAGGGTAAGAAAACCCAATTCCTTACGCTCCTCGTCCGGTTACAGTCCACAATTTGGTTGCTGCTAGGTTGTTCCAGAGTCAGGAATATGGCCTAGCGGCAATGGGATACGTGTTGGTGTAGCTCATTGGTAAAGCGTTCTCCCGGTAAGTGAGAGGTCGTGGGTTTGAATCCCGTCTTGTATCCCCAGCCCCAACCCATAAAAAGATTGACGGGTCCAACTTCTGCTTACACCCACCATTCGAATGTAGTTTTAGCTTTAATGCTAAATGCTATTGGTATCAAGCACAAGCACTGTTGCTGCACAGCTTGCTAGCGAGAAGCCTATCATGTATAGCAAATCCTCACTTTCTATGTCTTATATCCGAATCGATCCAATAACAATCATCGCAATTCAATTCAAAGTGCTAAACCAGTAAACCTTGACAATTTGTGAAGAAATTTTTTACTTACAGCTTGAATTATTGACAATATTCAAGTGACAAGAAAATAACGCAAATAAACATTTTTGATTACAAGAGATACAAGAGCTTAAGGAGTGCTTTAAACATTCATAAAGGTTGACTGATGCTCAGTCAATAATGTTGACTGAGTGACAATGAGCTAGTTGAAAAACAAAACAAAACAAAACTTGAATCAAGTCAGTTGGAGTAAAATTTGGAGCCAAAAACAAAGCGAAGCCATGACAAAGCTCAAGTTTTGCTCAAGTAAAACAAAGATAAGCTCAAGTTTTGTAATTTAACTCCAGTAATTTAACGATATTTTAAAATTCAATAAAGTTCTGTTTTATAAAGGTGGACAGTCGATTTCAACGAGATATTCGGCACTTGTCCCCGGCCCGTCCACTCCTCCACATTGAAACTCCGAAGTTCGTTCATCACATTTGTCAATGTAAGAAGTTGGACAATAGTGCTATAAGATGGTACGGTGGAATTGAAAGATGATAAGTTAAGATAATGGTTCTAAAATCTCTCAATCTACGGTAGAAATATTAGGTTGTTCGGATACAAACGAGTGTTTGCACTCCTTAACTCGTGAGGAAGCCATTTCCCGCATTTGATCGTCTTTTCAATGGCGTGGAGATGTTTGTCAATAGTAGAATTTGAACATAGAAACTGTTGAGCAAGTTCACGCGTCGTTTGACATGGATCTGATTCGAGTGCAGCACTGCTTAACTCGTGAGGAAGCCGCCATTTCCCCTTCTAGAAAAGAAGTCATGACCAGGGCCAATTATTAGGTTGTTCGGGTTGCCAATTATTAAGTTCTTTATATAAACGAGTGTTTGCACTCCTTAACTAGTGAGGAAGCCATTTCCCAATGGCGTGGAGATGCTCATCAATAGTAGAATTTGAACATAGAAACTGTTGAGCAAGTTCACGCGTCGTTTGACAAGGATCTGATTCGATTGCAGCCCTCAAAGTATCGTTGTCTACCGCTTGAGGTCGACGAGAGTGTTCATCATCCTCGAGACTTTCATCACCATTCCGAAAGCGTTGGAACCAGACTCGGCATCGGCTTTCGGACAATACATTATTCCCAAATGCTTTGACCAAATCTCAATGGGATTCCGCGACTGTTTTGCTCAGTTTGAAGTCGTAAAGTAGGCAGCCGCGAACTTGATATATTTGAAGTCGGTTATCTAAAGCAAGAGAAAAGATCTTAAAAATAGGAAATTATCCGTTTAAAAAGATTCCAAATATGCACAAGATAACGTACTTTTAAATACAGAAAGACATGTTTTAAAAGCTTCTCTCACAACAATAAGTTTAGCAACGCTTGTTTAGATCCGAACAACCTAATAGTACACTATAAATAGTACACTATAGGCAGCGTAATCGGCAATGAGACTACGGGATGATGTAGAGTTGAAAACGAACTTAGGAAACGCTTCGACTGAACTAACTCTGTAAAATTCAAATCCCTCATCTCCGCTCTTGTTGCAATCATCACTCCCGCCGGGAAGACAACCAACCAAAGGCCATAAACCGTCCTAAAGTACCAGATATTTTTAAAAAACACAAAAGCAACTGACTAAGAATTTTTCAAGTTCTCTTTTGGCGAAATGGTGAATATACTAGAGGCTGTGGTGGTGCTCTCTTTCAAATTTCCGAGTACTTTTTGTTTGATCTAACGTTCAAATCAAACACTATATATGCCACACCCTGTACTTATTTTTAGAGCTTTTCAATATGACAAACCCATCGAAGATTATCGGGGCAAAAGATCAACAAATTTCGGGTACATTTAGTCGTCGCTTGACAGAATTTCGGATTGTTGATCTCTGAAATTTGAAAAAGTTAAGAATCTAGTCTATCTTCGAATTTACCGTGCCGAAACGTTCCTTCTATTGGAGAGATAGCAATGTCACAATTGAATCCACCAAATGCAGAGACTTTATAGTAATCCTAAAGCTATTGCAATTAAACATTTGAGATCAACTCACATTTTGGAAAAATCCAGTTGAATCAGCTAATGTGAAGAGAGCCATCGTGTATGGATATTCTGGAGGAGTTAAACAGGGACCCTAAAGGGGCCTTTTTTCATTGCAAATCAGGATTTTAATTGAAAGAAGGGGCCGAATTAAGACCGATTCTGATTACAACCAATTACCGGCAGTTGGGTTGAGAAGAAGGAAATGGGGACGAACTTTAAAGAATCTCTTGGCACGCATAAAGCCTTCTTTAAATACCGGTTTGTTTCATCAAAAGGCTCCACTCTACAAAATGGCGTTAGAGAGATTCCATAAAGCTTTTCTTTCGTGAAGTTGGACTCCCAAACCCAGCTAGTCAAAATGGCAAAGAATCATATTTTAAACAGTTTCTTCCAAATAAACCTCCTTTGATGTCTATATAAAAAAGATAGAGCACACTTAGTTACATAAGTTCCCAAATTTTCAGAAAGATCCCACCAACCATTTTCTCTAATGACAGATTATAGATTTTGAGAAAAAATAGCCTTTGTTGAGCTGTTCTGTTTCTGTTTAGGTTTTCTTTTAAATGTCATTTTGTAGAGAATTAGTTAACCTTTCTACTGATATCAAAAGGCGTATTCGACAAAGTCTGTAAGCCTTAGGAATTTCTTTGATTTTCGGCACCATTTCATTCTCCCCAACCCAATATTATATGCCCGGAAGCTGCTGTGGGCCAAGCCTAGCCAGGCTTAGGGGTTAGGCTTAGGCTTAGGCTTAGGCTAAACTTTGCTGGTTTTTGGAACTACAGTAAACTGTAATCACTTACTATTAGAGACAAATAAATGAATGCATTCAAATATCTATGTCTATAGAATAAGCCGGAAAAGCCTGGTCTTCTGGCTCCGTGTAGACGGGTTTTATTTTCTTCACCCCTAGAGGAATCAAAACCGTGACTCACTCAAAAAGTGTAAAAACAACGAAACAAAAAAAATTGCATCGGGCAGAGATCGAACCCGAGACTAATCGGGAATTAGTTAACCTTTCTACTAATATCAAACGCGTATCATTTGACAAAGTCTGTAAGTTTTAGAAATTTCTTCGCTTTTCTTTGCCATTTCATTCTCCCCAACCCAATAGTTAAAAGTTTAACAAGATTTACAATTCGACATCTTCTTTTTTTACCATCTACAATTCAAAAGAAAAATCTCTGAGGAAAGATGAGGTGTTCTTTGTGCAGCTCTCCATCTGGAATAGGCTCTGGTATAAGGCGCTTCCCTTTTAGAATCCTTTTGTTTGAAAATTTTGTGATAATTTAGTTTTAGTGAGAAACGGTCCTAATTCAGATCCCTTCCTTAAGCCAAAAATCTTTTCAATTCTTAACCCAATTACTTTTAATTCAAATTTTCAAAAGCCAACTTCTGGATATCCCTCACAAGCTCCTGTATCGCATCCATCCGATTCCTGACAATTTGTCATCGTCCAAATTCTTCCGATCCAGCCGTTTGGTACGGTGAATAGCTGAAAGACTAACAATAAGATTGGAAAGATAATCTTAAAACAAATGAAATCAATGTTTTTTTGAAAACTGTACATGTACTGACTTCTTGGAATAAAATTACTGTGATCTAATTGAAAGCATAATTTGATTACCGTGAAATTCCTTGCTGGGAGAACAAAGTCTATGTATGGCGGGTTCTCACTGGCATCAGCGACACCAAGATATGCATGAAAGAAGCCATTATTTTGAATCTAACAAACAAAAGTTGAAAAATTCCTCTTTTCCAGCCAACCTTGATCAAAACATCGCCACTGTTTTTGCTAAATAAACATAATAAAAGAAAGTTCAAGTATAGTTTTGTCATAACATAATCCAGAAAAGTAATTTAGTGTTGATTTCAAATGAAAATTTGCTTCGGTTCTTTTCAGAAATCAATTTCCAATAGGCTTACATTTTGCTAATGACGAAAAAAGGCGTCAAAGTTGATAAATAATCATTTGAAAAGGGAAAAAGAAGGGCGTTTTCGTAGCGATAAAAATCTGTCATGAAAATGAATTCTTTGTAGGAAAGTTCATTGAATGTGTGATGAAAAATTGGTACAGTAGAAGTACGAGTAGAAGTAAAGATTGGTACAATTGGTACGGTACGTATCCAATAGAAGAAATTACAGTAGAAAGTACAAAAGAAAGTACAGTAGAAAGTACAGCAGAAAGTACAATAGAAAGTACAGCAGAAAGTACAATAGAAAGTACAGTAGAAAGTACTGTAGAAAGTAGAGTAGAAAGTAGAGTAGAAAGTACAGTAGAAAGTACAGTAGAAAGTAGAGTAGAAAGTACAGTAGAAAGTAGAGTAGAAAGTACAGTAGAAGGAATACAATACACAAATATTGGATCTAATACTGGTGTGTTCGAGACCACTTGCAATTAGGTTTCATACCAATAACTTTTCAGTAACCACTTTCTTACGCCAAAAACATAAGCATGACATTCTTAGAAAGATATTACGGCAATCTGCTCAAAAGTTCACGATCGGAATCTTGTCCTGAAGAATGATACGCTAGAATCTATTAGTTGCATGCATAAGAAATGCGGATTTCAACATTTTCATAAGTTTCCAACGATAGAAATCTGATATCAATGAATGTTAAAAAGTATTTGAAAGTTGTAAATCTCCTCTACAAAATAGGCTAAAACGTGTTTCAATTGATCGAATCATTGAAGAAATTTCGAGCGCGAAATGCGAGTGACCAAAAAAGGAATCGAGTCACTTTAGAGACAAGTTTAGTGTGGTCAAAAAAGAGTTAGCATCCCAGAATTGAAGATTTTAAAAGCAAGGATAACTATATATCAATTCATTAAAAAGGTCTAACGGAAATGCATTTACAGGAATTTAGATAGAGTTTAGATAGAACCAGCCATGACTTATCCTAGAGGACCAGCTCTGGTACTTGATGTAAGAGATGATCAGTTTGCAGGAATCTGTTTGAAAATTCATGATGTTTGATGATTTGAAGATTCTTTGAAGATTCACGGATCTTGCCCAGAAGGATTAACTTAATTTTTGCTCTATTTCTTCTCTTCACAAATATTTCCCAGTTAAAAAGTATGGAGTGCAATTATATTTGAATTGTATTTCCCTTTCCATTGCCTTTCTCTTTTTCATTCTTGTCTACCATCGATTTTCATCTTTTCCCCATATGTGAATTCAGCGGTCATTCTCCTTTCCCCCATTTTCTCTCGTTTTTTCCCAAGAGCCGAGTCATCTCATGCCAAAATCGTGAAAGTCACCGAATGTCCTTCTCTCCATTTTCTCACACAGATTTTTCTTTCATTTCCATCTATCTCAACCTCACTTTTTTGTTTTTGTATATGTTGGAAATCAATTAAAAGTCTATTTTACAGGCATTTTCAAGCCTAACCTAATTTTCAAACCATTTTCAAACCTTTCTCTTTGATTGAAACTTTGCCTCGTTAAACCTAAAGAAAACATGACGAGAAATGACGACAAAAAAACGACCAATTCTTTAAAATATTTACTTTTGTAATTTTTGAAAGTCTTATTGCAGATCTTTACTTTTAGATGTCTAAATGTTGATGTTAAAATGTAAATTTGAGAATGTTAAACTAATATAAATTTGAGAAAAGCTTGATTTTGATCAAAGATTTCAATTACTCTTCCTGTTATTAGAAAGAAGATATTTTTTGCTAAAGTTTTATGTAGAACTGAGTTTAAAAAGATGTGGAATTTGTTTAAAATGCAGCAAAATTTAAAGCAAAAATGTTCTCAACAATTTGAGCATAGTGACGCGCAAGGAAAAGGAAGTCGGCTCAGTCGCTGACCGCTTCTTTAAGGACTTCCTTCTTTCCTCTAAAGACTCAAAAATGAAAGCTCTTTATACCCGAGCGGTTTGCCAGACGGCGAGCGATCATGTGGCCACATAAAAAAACACATTACCAGTATATAGGGATTCTTCTTTTGCCTTATAGATCGTACAAAAAGAAGATTTTGAGCTGTAAATTTGTGCCTAGGGGTTTTTGGGATCTGCGAATCGATTGCAGCTATTCATTTTATTGAGTCTACCAATTGAAACTTGGGTTTAATTGGTCTAAACTTTTAAAGAAACTCGGAAACTTAGTAGCCCATCTTGGAGAGCAGATTCGCAGTTTTTAAACTTATTGAAGACTCACTGAAGACTTTTAAACTTACTAAAGATCTACCGATAATTTAGTTTAAGTAAGAATCGGTTCTGTTTTGGACGCCTTCTTTAAAAAGTCGATTTCTTAAAGCCCTTGAACCCAGTAAAAACCATTTCACATAGATTTTATTGAACTTCTCGAATTGCTCTCTTTTCTTCTCTCAAATCTTCTTTATTGTATCTCGAAAAAACGGAAAAAACTCTTCGTGGTTTTCCTTTTTTTTCCTTTCTCTCAAATGTCAGCTGTTTTATCGGGAAATGCTTTGTATTTTCACGCTTAGTCATTCTTCTTTCCATTGTTGTTTTGTAAAAGGTGACCTTAAATTGTTTATTCAATATTTATGTCACAAAAAATATGTTTTTTCATTGTTGATTTTGAAAGAGTTGTTCTTGAGTTCTTGAATAGCATACTTAGATAAATCTTACCGTATTGCTTCGAATAGAAGACCGGGTAAAGAGTATCATCGCGTACTCCTGCGTAGCAGCCCTTTTTAAAATTTCTTTTCTGCATAAAAGCTTTCAATCAAGTGCTATAGAACTGGAAAATGATTCAAAAATACCACATGAGCTAATAGATTTTTGAGTCATTTTTCAGCCCTATAGTACTTGATTGAAAGCTTTTATGCAGAAAAGAAATTTTAAAAAGGGCTGCTACGCAGGAGTACGCGATGATACTCTTTACCCGGTCTTCTATTCGAAGAAATAGGGTAATTTCTTTTTAAACCATTGTTTAGATGCAAGAATGGCCAACCGTGGAAAATGATCAGAATCTTTTTGACGGGAAAATTTCCTTTCCCACCCGATCTGGCTATCATGTGACAATCAGAGCTGTTTGGCAGGTGAGATAACAAAAAATTCTTTTGAAAAAAATGCCTAACAACTAAGTGAATTGCTTCAAAATGTAGACTTATCTAATAGCTAAGAACTTAAATGCTATTTTAAGCTTTTTCATTTAAGCTGACGGCCTAATCAATCAAGTTACAGGACAATCTGCCGAGTGGCTCAAAAGTGGGCACAGTTTTTGCAATTCACGGTTCTCCAGGGTCACACAATGACTTCAAATACATCACTTATCACTTAAAGAATACGGGAATTCGAATGATTTCGATTAATATGCCAGGACATGGATATACGCAAAGTGAGTGAAAAAGAGATATTCTAATTAGGTACTGCTTTATTTAAAGAAAGGTTGTTAGTTTGAATTCCGATTTGATACTCGAAATTGGATGAAATTGGATCTAGCTCTAGATCTAGCTAAACTTCGGACCGAATCCGATCTAGTGTCCCAAATGAAATTGGTTAAATGAAAATGCTTACAATAGCCTTCAAGTTCTTAACTATTAGACGAGAATTTCCTCACAAAAAAGGCGGCAATTCGAAAATTTTAAGTTAGCTAGTTTCAAAGTCGATTGACTAACTTAAAATTTTCGAATTGCCGTTTTTTTTGCGACGAAATTCTCGTCTAATAATTAAGAACTTAAAGGCTATTGTAAGCATTTTCATTTAACCAATTTCCTTTGGGACACTAGATCGGATTCGGTCCGAAGTTTTGCTAGATCCAATTTCATTCAATTTCGAGTATCATTTGTAGAGTGTGTTCCTATTGAGTAAGTAATTACTTGAGTAAATTTGCACAAGCAGTTTTTTTACTTGAGTAATGCCTTGAGTAATTGTCGAGTAATGCCATTCAAAAAATATAAAAGCGCCAAAACGGTCATTTTTGTTTTATTTTAAAAGGTAGTCGGCAATAGATTTTTTAAGCTGAAAATTGATGAGATTGATTGATGAGATGAGAGTAATTTTTACGAAGCTCCACTTTCAGAAAGCAAAACAAAAAAAGCAAAGTTGTCGATACTCGCGGGAGTCAAACCTTGGGTCGCAAGGGATACAAAAGACAAGCGCATTGAGTCACGAGTGCGAGATGCACGAGAAAATAAATATGCCTAAAAGAAAATAAAGTCTAGCTTTACCATATCAACTTTACCTGTTGTCAAGCAAAGTGCCAACTCCAGCTTCCTCGTTGAGTACGTTGTCGATTCCACCGGGAGGCTTAAATTTACTGTACATGGATTATTTTTAAAAAACAAACCGCCGCAGAAATCAATTCCCAGTAGTCGACTAGCATCTTGTGATCGTCGAAAGCCGTCTTTCCCTCCGGCAGCTTGCTAATTGTTCCGTAAACCTAAGACAAATATTTTAATGGGATTAAAGCCAAAAATTCTACTTGCACAGCCGGTTCTGTAGCCAGCGCAGTTAAAAATAAACGCGAGCAATTTGCATTTAAGCTGATGGCTACGATAATTTTCGTTTTGGCGCAACTTTAAAAAATGCATTACTCGAGTGGAACACACCATAATCATTTGCGCCGAGTATTATTTGCGCCAAAGATTTTGGCGCCACGTATCATTTGTGCAAAATTTGCGCTTTTCAACACACTTTCCTACCAACTCTGATTGACCATTTATATTTTGTTTTAGTTTTTCCGACGATGCTCGCTATTTTGCCTTCACTGGATCTAAAAATCGCATAAGATTGATATAGAAAGTAAAAAGCCCAATCGGGGACGCAAAAATGACTGTTTTTTGGTGTCTTTATAGGTATTTAAACGTGTTTTCTAATTGAAAACAGTGTAAATTAAAATTGAGAAGCGGAAAACTGAAAAAGAGTTGGTTGGAAGTTTGGAAAGTGATTTGTTACAGTGATTTTCATAAGCGTAAATTTGGTACAAAGAATTTTGGCGCAAAAAACCCCCACATTTTTGCTAGAATCTCAAATTTTCAGATCACAAGAAAATCTCCTTTCACAACGATGATCGAAATGCTTTTATCCAAGCCATGATCGATCATTTGAATGTTGATAGAGACGTTGTATTTGTTGGTAAGCTTTTTGTTAGTTAACTGATTGTGAGTAAGACTTAAGATAATCTTATAATCAAAATAAATCACTCAGGTCACAGTCGAGGCTCTGAAAATGCTCTCAACATTTGTACATTGAATCAAAATCGAGCCAAAGGTCTTCTTTTGATTAACACCTCTGGATTCAGACGACATAAAGGGATTAAACCGTTCTTTATCATTAGGGTAACGTTTTAAATGCTTTTCTTTATATTGTATCTCCAAATATTTTAGTTTGCCTCATGGATCTACAATCTAAAGCCTTTAGCGCCACTTGCTCGAATCATTATGCATCCAATTCTCTATCACAGTCGGTTCCTTAGAAAAATTTGGACATTTCAGCACAAAACACTTCTCTAACTTGATAATATTGGGTTGGTGAATTTAAAACTGCGGGACTTTGAGCTAAAATCTATTCAACATAAAGCCATCACTTCATTCCAAATAATTTCCATTATTATGGACGACTTCTGCCCATTTTACAGGCAATTTGCGGATTCCTCTTTCGTAGTAGGATTTTGGTTTTGAGTCGAAAAACTTTCAAAGCCAATTTTTGACTGCTTCTCCCGAATCGAAGTGTTCTTCCGCAAGCTCATTACTCATGATCCGGAATAAATAGTAATCGAAAGGGGCGAGGTCCGGACTGTATGGGGAATGCGCCAAAAGTTCCCAAATAAGGCTATTTATTTTAGAGTGAGTCAGTTTTGCAACATGAGAGCGCGCGTTGTCGTCGAGGAGAGCAATCTTTGACTTGAAGGGCCTATTCTTGTTTTCTTTATCTGCGAGTCCCGAGAAATAGATTTCAGATTTATCTTTGAAATTTCAAACTATTGGGTTGGTGAATTGAAAACTGCGGGGCTTTGAACTAAAATTTATTCAACATAAAACCATAACTCCATTCCAAATAATTTCAATTATTATTGACGACTTTTGCCCATTTTACAGGCATTGCGGATTCCTCTTTCGTAGTAGGATTTTGGTTTGTGTGTGAGACAAGTGTGAGACTCAAAAATGGAGGACTGGAGATGTCAGCCGTCAGCCCAGTCTGAGCACTTTCTTCAAAAGAAACCCATTTTGGTGTCAATAGAAAAGTTGTAGAGAATCAAAAATTAGGCTTATAGCCAAATTTCCAAAAAGCTACACTTAGTATTTTCGCTTAAAGTGCAAGTTTTGTGAAAATTCGTAAATTTGGCATTTCTTGAAAACCATTTTTTGGGATCGTTCTGAAAATTTGGATATAAGCTTCATTTTTGATTCTCTACAACTTTTCCATTGACACCAAAATGGGTTTCTTTTGAAGAATGTGCTCAAACTGTCACATATAACACTAGCCCGCAGTTTTCAATTCAACAACCCAATAAAAATATTTGTGCTGCGACTCTAGCTGCCTTAAACACTATTTTTAGTTTACAATCGCCTCGTCAAGTTGAAGACTCAAAGCGGGAAGATCGCTGCTGTTTGTGTGCAAAGCATGAAGACATTTGCTTTATCTGATCAAAGATCATACGTTAAAGAACTCAACACCCAATCAAAATTTCCAGTTAGTTTTCCAAGATGACTCCAAAAAACTACATTGTCAGATCTTGTTAGCCTATTCTGGGAAAGATTTTCTTATCGAAGAGGAGATCGTTCGAGAAATGTTGACAGAATTTGAAGACTCGGAGGAGTTGGTAGGTGACAGTTTGAAAGACAGAAAACTTTGTGAAGTAGAGTAACTACATTGTCAGATCTTGTTAGCCTTTAACTTTTGAGTTATCAGATCTATTATGGTTTTAAAACTTTCAATGATCAACCTTTTTGCTAAGCAAATACTGTAACACTTTAACTTTTGCCAGTTAATTGAGCTATGTCTTGCCAGGCCAAAAACTAGCTTTAAGTCTAGCTTCTGCGCCGGCCTTGTTGACAACTCATGAGGTAAGATATGCCAAAGCCAGCCAGGTTGCCGATTCTGTCCTAGATTTTGGCTGATTTCGTTCAGGAAGTACCCTGTCTCTGGCCTGGCGTACAGGAATTAGATCTAGGTCCATCCGTATTAGTCTGAATCAATTTATCTTTAGACCAGCCGACCAGCTTTATACTAATTTACCGGTGGAAAACGTTCAATAACGTTTGCGTTTTTCCACACAATCTAAGCCCCGCTCCTTTTTGCCAATGGCTACGCACAGACAGACGCACGAACAGACGTCTTTTCTGCTTTTTATATAGTACTAAAAACTCTGCTCAAAAATCCAGTCAGAAAAACCCACCGTTAAAACCCTGGCTTTTCTGGCTAGGTTTTTGAAGGACTGTTTTTGCTGCCGTAGCGCAGTCAGGAGCGCGCTTGTCTTCAGCCCAGACGGTCCGGGTTCGACCCCCCGTTGTGCCACTCAGTCTTGAATTTTTCTATTTTTTTATTCTAAATGAAATAACTATATTAGATTTTAAGACTCTTTAATAAATTTCTGCTTTTTTTGCCTAAAGACGGCTGAGAAAAAGATCGTACAGACGGACGGACAGATAGACAGACACTGATCTTTTATATAGTTGATTAAATTGATTTATCTTTAAAAAGTGCTTCAGACTAGCCTCGTTGTAACAAATTAATGCTTAAAATTCTAGATAATCGATGATTCCCAAGCAACAGATACAGAGACAAAAGCGGCTCGATGGTTTCGATGTCGTCTCTCGCAAAAGCGAACTCTTGGTGTGTGTTTCCATCAAGATGGACATTACCTCCAAAAATATAAAGCCAAATTCCTTTCTGATGCCATTCAAGCAATCTTTGAATATAAAGATTGAATATAAAGATTTCTCTTCATTTCTAGATACACTTTATTTACTGAATACCGGTGATTAGCGTTTTCGAAATTTTGTTTCCTTTCTTGTTGTTTTCTAGTTGATTTTCTCCAATCCTTGCTCGTCCTCTCTCGCATAACGACCGAATTTTTTGCTTTTCTCTTGGGCCATTTTCTTCAGATCTTCATAAGTGATGTGATAACCTGAAAAATGATGATTTTGATTGAAATATTGTTTAAAAAAATGCTTTTACTGACTTGACAACAGATTCACGCTTACCAAAACTATCAATTGGAGAGCGAATCAACTCCTTAGAGCTATTAGAAAGCTACACAAACCCATCAATTTGTCCAAATAGTTCAACCAAGGCTCAAAGCAGGTTAATGGTCGTAAATGATGCATGTCATGAGCAGGAGCACCCGAGTAGAAGAACAAGAAGCGATGAAGAGCAAATGGGAAATCGTAGCCGAGATGAACCTGAGCTTTTGATACTTTGGAGAGATGGTTTACAGTCAAATGTGATCAAATCGAATAAAAATTTGATTTATTAAGCAAAAATGGAACGAATATTCAGATTCAATGTAGATCTTATTTGATTTTATCATTTCAATAGATTTATCTTTCTTGGATACTTACTATTGCCTGCTTTTTTTGCAAGATCTATTTTGGCTTTAAATTAGATGATTTACTCACTTCATAAGAGACAGCTTGCGCGATGAAAAGCCACGTGTAGTAAGTGAAGCAATGAGTCGGGAAGATCCATGGAATGGCTGAAAATGAACTTCAGTAATTGGTAAATATATATGTTACGTCCGAATTCGACCTACGGATTTTTGACCATTAACATTAACATTAACCGAATCCGACTGAGCTTCCGAATCTGATCTAAAGGGGTTTTTAAAAGACAATCGACTTGGTGCCAAAATAAAAGATGTGCAAAATATATGAATTTTATATCGTAAAACAAATTTCAGCTTATTTGGTTATTTGGTAGAAAACTTTTTATGGCCGTTCAAAGTGAAGGTCCCAAAATGCCTTACAAATAGCTATGTAAAATTTACCCCTGAACCAAAAAAGTCGTGTAATGGCTCATTTTGTTGCAAATTTTACGTAGATTCTTATAGTAAAGCTAAATTTGACATTTCTCTTTTGTAAATGGGAGAAATTGCACGCGGGCTGGTTTCAGGGGATCCCCTAACTCAGAACCAAGGAGTGAAGTTAGTCCGCACAATTTTTCTCTTACTTTCAACGAATAAATGTCAAATGTAGCTTCACTGTAAGAATCTACGTAAAATTTGCAACAAAATGAGCCATTACACGACTTTCTTGGTTCAGTGGTAAATTTTTTATAGCCATTTTAAGATATTTTTGAACCTTAACTTTGGACCTACCATAAAAATTTTCCTACTGAACCAAATGAGCTGAATTTTGTTTTACAATATAAAATTCATATATTTTCTACATCTTTTATTTTGGCATCAAGTCAGTTGTCTTTCAAAAACCCCTTGCGTTGGATTCGGACGCTAGGTCGGATATGTTGTGTCCGATTTGGAATGAAACAATCTCAAGCGCTACAAGCACGTGTTTTTACTGTTATCTTCACAGTTTTTATGGATCTATAAAACAGTCTGCGTAAGAAGAGAGTAAAAATAGCATTAATGAACACTTTAATCGCACTTTTGCCTAATTTTTAAGATTTTTACGTATTTTGGGGTGGGTGAAGCGCTTGAAATGATCCATTTTACTTTTTAGTTTTCCAGTTGGCTTGTATGCGGTAAAAAAAATCACAAAAAACGACAAAAGTTTGGTTAAAAACTTAGATTAGAAGAATTCTAATGGAAATTTAAGAAACTTAATCCAAATCGGACGCAATGTATAAGAAAAATAGTAATTATTGTGCTAGACAAGAAATTGCTTTTTTAAAAACGAGAAATGAAAAAATTCTAATACTATTTGCTAGGGAATTTCACACGATTTTGAAAGCAATTAAAAAGCAATTGATTGCCTTCTCAAAATGTTTCAATATTGCAATACCTGTGATAAAAGTGCCGACAAAGAAGAGCTCAAATGGATGCAAATGTTGAGCTGCTGCAGCAAACGGCGATGAGTACATGTGATGAACCGAGTGACACCATCGATACAAGAATTTTACCAAAAATTCAATCTTTAAAAGTTTAACAACACAGTACTTACTTTATGAAACGTGTAATGAAACCAGAAGTAGGTAAAGTCAAAAGCGAGAAAGAAGATGGTCAATTGGGTGAGAAATTCGAAGAGAGTTGGAGCAAGTTCGGGGAGAAAAGTGGGTGGAACCCAGATGAGTTGAACGAGAGCCATTGGATAGATCCTGAAAAGTTTAGTTTATAGTCAGAAGCTCAGAAATAGCTCAAGTTCAAGCATAGGGAGTTTTTCTAAAAAGAAGTCAATTCATTTTTTCTTTCTTGGCCAAAGATGCTGTGAAAATTGGTATTTGTTAGCAAGGCTAGGCTCAACCCAACTAAGGTACACCAGTATCAGTCCTAGTTTTTCGCTTCCCTGTCCAGGACCAGCACCAGACCAGCCCAAACCAGCCCAAACCAGGCAAGGTCAATTCTGGCATTAAACTATTCCAGTTTTTGATAAAAGGTAGCAAAAGTTGCAAAGAAATTGTTAGAAAAATTGCTTTGTCTAGGTGTTTTTGCTATGGGAAAACACTAAATCAAGGTTGGATTTTTGAACAAGACCTGTATCTAATCAAGTTTTCTGATCTAATCGATCTAATTGAGTCATTTACCTTCCAAAGATTGCTATTTCCCTATCCAAACTGCCTTACAGAATCTCCATTCACTTACACTCTTAAAATCAGAGCCTTACTCCTCAAAATCTTCCCTTTTCATCGATTCTTAAAATCTGGTACACTTTTGCTTCTCCTTGGGAGGTCCAAATATTTCTCTCTTTACTTCGATCACCTTATATCAGCTGATCCGCAAATAGGGGCATTTCTTGCACCCTTATCATAGAATTCCCCGCTTTTTTACTGACAAAAATACACGTCTTGTGCGCTTTTCTGATCGTTTCTTTGTCTTTCTTTGTCTACGGGTCAAAGGTGATTTGGTGAGAAATTTGATTCATCACATGTTAAAATTGAGCTTTTTGATCTAGATGACATTGTTTTGTCAGCAAATTTACGAATTTATCAATAACCCACCACAGAAGTTGGTTCCAGAACTGCAAAACGAACGATTTCTTCATCAAATCCCAAGTGACTTTGCGATCTTTTTGTATTTTATATTTCTTGAAGAATGGGACATCGTAAAGGAAAAGATCGATAACTAAATAGGATTTGTATAGAAATTCTATATTCTTTTCACAAGTGAAGGTCACAAGGCTGAGGAAATGTTAAATTAGGTTTCATTCACTTTATATAGCTGCCAAATATGTTATTTTGTTTGTTATTAATTAAAAGATGGCATAATACTTTTTGAAAAGTTAAAATAGAGCAAATTCAAACGAAAGAAGTGAAAGAAGCCTTATATAGGTCCTAATTGACTGATTTTGGCTAATTTGACCTCAAACTTCTTTACCAGATTCCTCGCGTTTCCGAATCATTTTGCAAAAACGGATTACAGCATCGGAATCAGCGTAAAATTCTGCATCTTATGGTATATAAACTCATGTCATTTTGACCACCTTGTGACCTTCCCTTGAGCTAAACCATTCTCAGCTAACCTCAGAACAAAACTACAGTAATCCGGCTGCATTTCAACGCACTTTTTAGAAATCTAACACAATTTGGTGTTTAAACTTACCGGTAAATATCGCTACGAAAGTGTAGTCAATGCTAAGTGCGTAAAATGGAGGAAAAAGTGGAGAAGAGAGGATTGGCTCGTTTCCGTGCTGAAACGAAATAATAAATTGATGAATCACTTAACTTTATAGAAATTCTTGATTTTTCTATAAAGCTAAAGCTTTTTGCAGTAATTAGCATTCAAAAGATTCCACAAAAAGCTTTTCTAAGGCTCACCTTGACAAAATCCCAGATCGGTTGGAGTAATCGATGCTGCTTCTCGAGAATTAGCTCCGTTTCGTTAAAACTTGGCTGTGGATACCAGTGATGCAGCATAATTACTGAAATAAAGCATATTTAGCATAGTCACTAATTTGTAAAACAAAATTGTAAGTGCAGGAGAATCGTTAGAGATTCTGTTTCCTCCCCGAGAAATGGGATGTTCAAAACTCGAGAGAGAAGTTGGATTACTTTTAGAAAACATCAAAAACACAAAAATTTAGGCTGGAAAGCTGCAAAACTCTATTTATCAGAAAAATGGATTCGAAGTGAAGAGTCGAAAAGTAAAAAGGAGTCGAAAGCTGACAGAGATTATTTATGTGTGATTGATTCATCCGATTCCCGTTTCTTCCCTTCCCTTCCCTCTTCTTCAATGGCTCCTGTCCGTTTTTGACTCTTTTTCTTATCAGAAAATAGCCTCGACATATAGCTAGAGATAACTATCAAAACTCTTTGTACAAAGAATTTGAAAAAAACACACAAAATTAAAGCATTTATATAAGGATTATAAATGACTTTTGCTGGTACTATCCTATAAAATTCATCCATCGCATCAATCCTGCTATGCCCACCAAAAACCTTCATGTAAAAAAACGACCAAAAATATTTAAACAGGGTACAAAATATCGATATGTTCTAGAATCCATTCTAACTTAGAATGGCTGCTTGAAAAAGGACCTTAATGCGCGCCGATTGGCTTGGCTCAAAAAAAATGACACGAAAAGACAAAGTTGAACGTCTTTTTTTCCTTGAGTCTTTAGGAACTTCTGATTACAGATTTGGAATGAAAATTCTGCATCATAAACACCCTGCTTCTAGCCAAATAATGTCGGGAGTCTGGTGGGGTTCCCTTGTCAGCAAGATAGCTTTCCAAATGATGATAGGCATTTCCACGATGACTTTTAGCCACTTAGCAGCTTTTAGCCACTTAGCAGCTTTTAGCCACTTAGCAGCTTTTAGCCACTTAGCAGCTTTTAGCCACTTAGCAGCTTTTAGCCACTTAGCAGCTTTTAGCCACTTAGCAGCTTTTAGCCACTTAGCAGCTTTTAGCCACTTAGCAGCTTTTAGCCACTTAGCAGCTTTTAGCCACTTAGCAGCTTTTAGCCACTTAGCAGCTTTTAGCCACTTAGCAGCTTTTAGCCACTTAGCAGAGTCCCGTTTGGGTGTTGATGGAGGAATCGCTGGGGGCTCAAAAAATTGATCAACTTCTTTATCTTATGTTTTGCATGCAAATGCTGTTTATTCAAGTTTTGAGTTCACAGTTCAAGTTCAAGTATAATAGAATTGATGTGAGTTTATGCAGTGAACATAACAGCGTAGTACCCTTTTTAATGAATAAATGATGTCAGCCCAAACCTCTGGAACCAATTTTTTTGCCTTAAATTTGTTTGCATTTTTACTACAAAGCTAAAGAAATATTGGGCGCGATTCAGCTCGTTTTATCCAACAGCGTTTCACCCAACAGCTGATTCCCTATACCTCATTATTGATTAAGAAACTAGCAAATGAAAAGCGGTGAAACTCTATAAGGACAATTGAGTTCGCAATTTATCAAAAACTAACCCTTATTAGGGCAAATTTCGTTCAAAATCGAGCAACTTAGCACTATCACAACTAATCAAAGTGAAAATGAAGAGTGGAGAACTTTTATTGATGTCAAAATCATGGAGACAAACTTTCAAACTTCAAAATTTCACAAAAATGAAGAAAAAGGAACCGAATGTTAAGTTTAAAAGGGATTTTTTGAGTACACAAAGTTGCAATAAACAAACAATAAGAATATCGTTTAGTAAAGACACAAAAAACAGCGGAATATCGTATTTACGGTATCTTATCCGTCGACTTTGAATTTTAACTTGTGTATTGAATTTCATTGTCTGCGGAGAAGTGACAATTTGCCACACCATTCAACTGTTGAGATGATCCTCTGTATCCATTATTGATTAAAAAACTAGCCGTGAAAAGCTGTAAAACTCTAAAAGGATAATCCAGTCGATTCCCTGAGGAACTGGGATCAATTGAACTAATTTTTGATTAGAATATGCTAAACGAGAAGTCAAAGAATCTCTGTAACTTGCATCGTTTTCAGAAATTACTAATTTCCTTCTACTAGCGCTTGATTAAGCCTAAGCCTCAGCCTAAGTCTAAGGCCAAGCCTAAGCCTAAGTCTAAGTCCAAGCCTAAGCCTAAGCCTAAGCCTAAGCCAAAAAGCTAGCCATGAAAAGCTGTAGAACTCTATAAGGACAATCCAGTCGATCCCCTGAGGAACTGGGATCAATTGATCCCGCTAACTAATTTTTGATTAGATCATGCTAAACGAGAAGTCAAAAGAATCTCTGTAGATCGTTTTCAGAAATTCACTCATTTCCTTCTACTAGCGCTTGATTAAGCCAAAATTTGAATCCATTACAATTCCACTCAATTACATTACACAAATTTCAATTCATTTTCGGGCTAAATGATGTCTTATTGAAAGGAAATTCATCATTTTTAACACACACTATTCACAATTTGCGTTTTCCAAAGAATTTGTTTCTTTTAACGAACAGGTGAATTGAAAATATTTAAAAAATTGAGGAAACGAATAAGATCCGAAATCAGTAAACAGCCAGAATCTTTCATATCTTATAAAATTGATATTTTAATGTTAATTTTGAAAATAAATTCAGAACTCTTGAGTTTTTATTGTCCACTAAACTTTCAAGAACTCGTACTGTTCTCGAAAAAAAAGTTTCTTGATCGTAGATCATTTTTGAGTGAAATTTTGTTTAAATGATCACATTTTTACATTTTTTCATGCAGTTTTTAATCTGTTTCATGGTCTAAACCATGAAAAAACCCAGCAGATCCAGGACTAGAATGTATTCCTCTTAAGTAAGCAATTACTTGAGTTTTGCATAAATTTTTGCACTTAAAAACTTTACTTAAGTAATTGTGAAGTAAATGTCAAGCAATGCGCATTCTAAACTGCGCCTACATATATTCTCCAATTTGAAATCTATAAGGCAAACTTACAAAATCATTCTCATTTTTGTTTTCTGTTAGTCAAATAAATTTATGTTTGTTTTTCTCCTTATTTTTATGATTTAATTAATTTTTGAAAAAAAAACAGGAGGAAACAATCAAAAGAAACCAAATGAAATCAAAGGAAAGAATAGCAAAAAACAGCTTAAATTAGCTTACCGTAAATACTGTAATAGTACCCCGCCCCATAATGACGGTGTGGAGTCTTGCGTAGTCTAGCTTTGGACGCTTTTTTCTCGACACTGGTTTATGCTACAATGCGCGTTTAGGTATCAAAAAATAGCTGGAATTCAGGGCTATTTTTTGATACCAAAGACGCATTTTTTGAAAGTACAAGCGCTTTGAAAAAAATGAAATACTAAGAAACGACTACGACTACGCGACTAAGCGACTGTACGAGGGGGGTGGGGTACTATTACAGTATTTACGGTAGGTTGAGGAAAAAGTCCTGACTCAGCTGCGAAAAACTTAATTTTTATGCGCATTTTAATAACAAAAATCACAAGAATTATTCCTCAAAGCATAACCAATTATCTACAACTTCCCCCCATCAATCTGAAAGCTTTCGAATCTAGTCGAAGTACCACTCCTTCAGTTTCGAAACAAAAAACTCTTGGCAAGCTTCTTCAACTTCTTCAAATGTTTCCGTTTTCAGCAACTGTACGAGCGGGGTGGGGTACTATTACAGTATTTACGGTAGGTTAGCCAATAAGCCTTTGGACGCTTTTTTATAAATCTGCTTCTAAATTTTGTCTCTAAATCTGCTTATAAATTAAAAGTTTACCAATTGAATCACGGTTTGCTTCAAATAGAAGATGTTTCATATACACTTTTCTATCTTTTTACGCCAATCTTCGCCTGTTTCCAAGAATATCCCTTTTTAATAACTACAAGGGTGCGGTTGTTTTGTTTCAATTGGCGAGTCTCTTCATCGGTTGGCTCTTACTTTTGAAATTTCAATCCCATTCAAAGCTCAACTTTAAGAACTATTTCTTTATTCAATCAAAGTTTAGAAATAACAGTTTTGTTGAGTTTTTTCAATAGTATGAACAGTTGCAAACTATTTTTATGAGTTGACCACTTACCGTGGTCAAACGGTGTGGAGTGTTGCGTAGTCTAGCTTTGAACGAGTTTTTCTAGACACTGGTTTATGCTACAATGCGCGCTTAGTTATCAAAAAATAGCCCTGAATTTCAGCTATTTTTTGATACCAAAGACGCATTTTTTGAAAGTACGAGCGCTTTGAAAAAAATGAAATACTAAAAAACTTTTGCGACTACGCGACTGTACAGTGTGGGGTGGGGGTACTATTTACGGTAGCTAAAAGCTAAAGACTCGATTTAGCTAAAATACTCTAAAGTTTCGAAAATTTTGTCTAAAACAGCACCAGTTTATGCCCAAAATATAGAAATAGAGAAATATAGATGCCAAAATACGAAACATTTCTAAAATAGACTTCTGAAATTATGTTTCAATTCATTTAAATCCAAATTCGATCCAATCCAATCAAATAATTTTGAATATTTGTCTGGATTTTGGTGCTTTTTGAGACCAGTTTTTAGAAAACATATTACCCTTAAAGGGATCATCGTCAGCAACCTGCAGCCACCAACAGCGCATTCCGTTCGTCGTCCAAGTACAACACTATATTCACGGCCTGTTGCCTCAAACATTTGACCCACGGTCGGAAAAGTTTTGTGAACAACCACGGGGCTGGGGATAGACCAAAGGGCAGCACGTTGAACTTATATAATTTTCCCTTTCATTCAAAAACTAGCATCTTCTGAGAATCGGGGTGCATCTTGACTTGATGATACCCGGTTTTAAAGTTAAACTTTAGTCAAAGAAAATAAAATCATCAAAAACTCCGTATTTTATACGTTAGAGTTTATCTTCACATCGTGTTTTTCTCTATTTTTCTGATTGTTTACAGAAATGGCCACAATCCTTGTCACAGCTCCCGAGTTTTATGGCTCAAACACTCTCTCTGTATTGAATTTGAAAAGACGTGTTTCAATGATATCTCAATTTTCTTTTGGTGAAGTTCATGGTCGATCAAGATCTCCGCTCCATTGTAAGTTTTTTATTTCATTTGAAGTTTAAGTTCATTTGAAAATTTTCCCGATAATTCAATTAAAAGTTGAGCTCAACTCTTTAACAGATGTTTTTGACAGGTGAACTGAAAATGAATTCCAGTTTTTAAAAACATTTTAGTACAAAAATTTAATGACAAAATTGACAAAAATTAATGAACTTTAATGAAATTAATGAAAAATTTTAGTACAAAAATTCAATGACAAAAAGACAAACAAAACTCAAAGGGAATATTGAAATTCAAATTTGTAATGCGAAAGTTTGTACAAAGGCAAATAAGCGAAAATTTTCCTGTTTAAAATTCTCCCGCTTTATTTTTCCCGATTCTCCACCAGTTATGACAGAGATCATTCGAAAAGCCTTAAAAAAGATCGACAAAAGAGCAAAAGAGAATGGTAATGGTAAACAAATGTCATTTAGGTTTTAGTTTCTAATAGTAAGCTTTATTGATGATAGTTTGTTTAAATTTTTACAGGGTTTTTGGGGGTAAAAGTAATTGTTCTGAGCGCATCTTACATTGATTGTGAGAAAGGCTGAACGATTGTATGGAATGTGCCGCAAGTCAAGCAGAAAATACCAAAGTGAAGCTCTTTTTAAGTAAACATTTTGATAGGTTCGGAGCCGTTTGTGTTCTGTTCGTTAAAAAATGGACAAGCAACCGTCTTTGGATGGGAATATGCTTTCCCTTGCTTGCAAGAGCTGCAAGAGCTGCAAGAGCTGCAAGAGCTGCAAGAGTAGGAGCTTGCAAATAGGAAATTGTAAGTTGGATGGATTTAGATCCAAACATGAAGCGTAACCACTAGACATGGGAAAATTCCAACCCGATCCTGATTCCACCTTGGTTTTTTTTGGCCGATTCTTGGCGGATTGCTCTGAAATTTTGTCTACAAGCTGAAAATGTCGATTTTTATCTGTAGACAAAATTTCAGAGCAATCGGCCAAGAAACAGCCAAGAAAATGAAGGTGGAATTTGGTTCGGGTTGGAATTTTCTCATGTCTAGTTCACATCACTCATCTTCATTCAGCGTTTCGATTTTTTGATGATGTTCCCCGATCAAAAACCAATTGAATGATTGACATGACTCGAATTATCTGATGTGTGGCTTCACTTTGCGTTGCAATCTCAAACATTGTGTTGCTAACCGCTGGCTCTACTCTAGTACTATTGTTTTTCAAATTTTACAAAATTTTGATGATTTTCTTCAGTTTTGGGATCTTTCGAAGTCAAACTTAGCGTTAGAGCGACTTCCCGGCTTGTACCTTTTCTTGGTTCCTTGTCCCTCCAGATTTGGCACCTTTTCTTTACAGATTTGGTTCCTTTTCCCTATAAATTTGGTTCCTTGTCTCTACAGATTTGGTTCCCTTCCTCTTCTTTACGAATTTGGTTCCTTTTCTCTACAGATTTGGTTCCATTTGGTTCCCTTTCTTTATAGATTTGGATGCTTCCCTCTACAGATTGGCTTTGAAGTTTTGTAGCTTTGCAGAACTAAGTGTTGGGAGAAATTGAGAAAATAGCTAAAAATTTAAAAGCTGAGAAAAGAATACAGTACCCGGGAGAGCCAAAGATTTTAAGGGAATTGATAAATGCCAACTATTAGGTGCGTGCATAAGAAGCTAACTCTATTTTGACCACACTAAACTTGTCCCTAAAGTGACTCGATTCCTTTTTTTGGTCACTCGCATTTCGCCCTCGAAATTTCTTTAATCGTTCGATCAATTGAAATACGTTTTAGCCTATTTTGTAGAGGAGATTTACAACTTTCAAATAGTTTATAACATTCATCGATATCAGGTTTCTATTGTTGGAAATTGATGAAAATGTTGAAATCCGCATTTCTTATGCATGTACCTAATATTTGAAAAGAGTCACAAGTTGCTCTGTCTACGGCAGGCAACGTTGCTTCTTTGCTTTATAGCTGTAGGTACAAAACTTGTGCATTTTATCTCATTTTTCCCTTTCAAAATCTATATTTTGTCGCTCACCGATAAACAACAAAAGATCACTATCAAAAATGATTTTGCACGCATTTCCTAGGCGATTACCTGTCGGATGAGGGGTTTTTCGAAAATTTTACAGCCAAGCTTTGCATATGATTTTCTCGGAAAATATTGCAAACTTTTTGTGACTTTTCGCAAGTTGAAAACTTTTTGATTTTAAAGGATCAAAAAAGTTTCGCTAATTCCACAAAATTTGACCCTATTTTTGTTCGAAGATGGTTTTGCGTCACTCGAGATCGTTCGAGTTTCAAGGTAAAGTTGAAAGTTTGAATTGAATGCATGAATTGAATGAATGCAAGTTAAGACTTAGCTTGAGTGTCACAGTAGAGCTCTTTCTTAAAACTACAGAACTGGGAAAACCAAGTTCTAACCTGACTTCCGACTCGGTCGTTGACCAAAACTTTATACACCCAATATAAAAAATGTCACATTTTATGGCTAGTTTTCGAAAAACATATTGGCTCTTCAAAATCTTTTGATCCATAAAAGTTACAGGCCCGAAGCCCCAAAAAAATGTGCGACCAAAGGGCCCCTGAGCGGACCCTCTTCTCAATCACTTGTCTTAAATAGCGTTGCACTTATAAATTAACCAGAAACGTTTTCTAAATCAGTTTTTCGCGAGGAATTCGAATTTCTTATTTTTAAAATCGTACCTTTTATCTAAAATTACCAAAAATGCAGAAAACACAAGTACGGGAACTTTTGGCGCACCCTGTATACTTTATAAAGAATAACTAACTTTATAACTTTCTAAAGAATGACTTTAGTTAGCAATATTATTCAGCTTTATCAAAGATTTACACTTTTACCAACAATGAGTCACTTGATCATTTTGATAATCACTCGCCCAAGTCAAAGCTGTGTTTTTCGTGGACATTTGATACTTTCAACACTCTCAAATTTCCAAAAACAACAAGAGCTCAATATCTATGCTAAATTTGATCAAATGAAATCATTTCGAACACGTTTGCCTTTCAAATAAGTTAGGAAAATAATCAAATTACGTGAAATGGTCTCACTTTTAGTACGTGACAGAGTTGTGCTCATGTCAAGCGGAAAATTGAGTTAACTTTTGTATTCTCCAAACTAAAATTTTGACTAACGACGAGTCGTAGCTTCTTTTTCATCTTAAACATCACACTAGATCAATGAATAGACATTAATCAATCAAAGAATTGTTCCAAGACGCGTCAAAGCTGTGAAGAAAACTTGAAAATAAAGAAACATTGAAAGAGAAGGTGCAAAATGTCAAATTCCTTTCATTTCCCTTTCTTGAACCCAAAAACGGGAGGAGATAAACCTTTTTGGCAAAGAAAAGAACTCTTTCGCGGGATTTTTGGTGGGTGATCGACCACTATCACTTGATCAGACAAATATTTCCCCCAAATATTCCCCTTTTCTTTTTGCTAAATATTTTGATCTTGATTTTGAATTGACTATTGATGGCAAATGCAAGAAAGATCTCACATCTGAAACAGAGTCTTCGGGAAAAGAGTTTGTTAAATATAATAAAAGAACATACTAATAGAAGAGCCGGTTCTTCTATTTTTCGATGTTTCTCCAAAATCCCAAAACTCTAGCTACGATATACCCAAATTTTCAAGAGCTAAGAAATGGGTGTTGGATTTTCATCCGACTTTTGACGTCATTAAGCTTTTTTAGTCTATAACTATTGGGTTGGGACGTATGAAATGGCTTCTCAACTCTCAAATAGCAAAATGCTCAACTTCTTAACGACTTCCAAAATTTTTGAGCATTTAATACTTTACTTTCCAAGATACTTTCTAAAATAGCAACAGAATATTGTTACTTTGTTGATCAGAGTTGTTCTAAAAGTAATTTTCCTAAGCCAAAGCTAGATCAAAAGCCAGGTTTGTTTACAAAAGGTACAAAAAGGTTTACCGGGTTTTACTGCCTACAAAAAGTCTTTTGAACAATCGAACCAGTTCTGGGTTCGCTCTGAAATTGCCTTGCCTGATTTACAAGCCTTTGTTAATATTGTTAATAAGTCGATAGCTGAATTTTCCTTTTTTCAAGATAAATAACCTTTTTAGCTGATCTTCTCCTCGATCCAATCTCCGTCTCACAATCGCTCTCCTTAGGACACCACCCTGACAGTAAGTCTTTTTCAAATTAAGTTAAAACATTTTTTAGTTGACTAAAGCTTGTCAATGCTAACTAATGTAATAAAATAAAATGTAATTTAATCTTGACATTGTTCTAGGTGCAATCGACAATGTCCGTCGCATCTTCGCGGCACACGAGGACCGAGAGCCCCCTCCAGTCTACAGTGAAATGCTTCAATTGAGATATGAGGACAAAATGCGGACATGGAATCAAATATCTAGGTAAAATTCGGGCTAATATAAAGCAGTTAACTTTATTTTAGATGGATCAAATACGAACAAGTGGTTGAAGGTGGGGGAACCCGTTTCTCGAAGCCACACATCACTCTTTTGAGTGTTCAAGGACTTCTTCAAGTAACACTTTTCCTATTAAAGATATTTTTCTAAAATATGGATACTGTAGCCCAGTTTTAGATGTAAAATTAGATGATTCTAGGCTCGAAACTGTCTTCGTCGTGGACTTGTTCTACTTGACTCACCAAAAGACTCGCTGTCGGCTTTGTTGGGTAAGTAGAAGCTTATTATGGGCTTTTAGAAAGTTTATTATGATCGCCATTTGCATATCCAAATCAAATTATTATCATAAATTAACACTTATCTAAAATTTTAATATTAAATGTCGGAACAAAATATGAATCGTATAGGAACCGTATTGGAACCGTATTGGAACTATATTGGAACAAAATAGGAACCGTATTCGAACCGTATTCGAATCGTATTCGAATCGTATCCGAACCGTATACAAACCGTATTCGAACCGTATACGAACGGTATTCGAACCGTACACGAACCGTATACGAACCGTATTCGAACCGTATACAAACCGTATTCGAACCGTATTCGAATCCTATTCGAACCGTATTCGAACCGTATTTGAATCGTTTTCGAGCCGTATACGAACCGTATTCGAGCCGTATACGAACCGTATTCAAATCGTATTCGAACCGTATTCGAACCGTATTCGAACCGTATTCGAATCGTATTCGAACCGTAGTCGAATCGTTTTCGAGCCGTATACGAACCGTATTCGAGCCGTATTCGAATCGAATTTGAACCGTGTACAAACCGTATTCGAACCGTATTCGAACCGCATTCGAAACGCATTCGAAACGCATTCGAACCGTATTGGAATAGATGATGATAGACGGTTTAGATGATATCATTCGCCACTGGGAAGACCGTGCTCTTGTTAATCCTTACAATATCAAAGGAGTGCGCAAAGCTCTTTGGGCACCGAAAGTTCACATGACGATCAATAAATCAAGTAATTCTAAAATTTGGATAATATATATATAAATGTTTAGGAAGAAACTCGATTGATCGAGGAAATGAGGGAGAAGATGATAACGATGATGAAACAAAACCTGTAGAGGAGAATCCCGAAGAGACAAAGGTGAGAGCTTGAGCTCTTTAAAGTATTACTGCATTTTAAAATCTAGTTCTTCGGGATTTTGTTTAAAAAATTGAACATTTCAAGACTCATTTTAACCTTTTCAGGTTCTCTACAACAATGTGAGCACAAATCTTTTCAGTGAGAGCACCGGAAATGTGAACACCGGGGAATTGCCACAGGTTAGAATGGCTAAAATTATAATTTGAATCAAACATCAAAACATTTTAACAATTTTACTTTAGGCTGAAAAGCGTCTTCTGGCAAAGTTGATCGGAAAAGATCCTGGAACCGAGTCTTGCGCGATTCTAGTTGGCCACGTTGACACCCTCGAACATCCTGTCTCTGCTTTCATTCGATTAAGAGAAGCTCAGGTTTGAAATCTTTCTTTCTTCAATTTATATTCTTCTAGAAATTCTTCCCGGAGATTCCCGACATCCCAGTGCCAACAAAATTCATCTTTATCCTCTTAACTCCACGAGATAATTATGAAAAAGAAGCGATTTCTGTTGGGAGAACGATTGGAGCTTTAATGGCTGATGAAGTCTCAAAAAGATGAACAAAACAAAACAAATTTCTTTTCAGGTTTTTCGCAAAGTCGCCCAATTCACTCAAGAACCGTACACGCTTGGTGATGCGATTGAGGAATTTATGTCAAACATCGTTGTCGTTCCACCGGGGAAATGCACAACGGAGACACGATGGGAGCCGAGAGAGGCGACTGTTGAGGTAAATCTACTATTGAATGATGTCAGATGTTAAACCCAACAAGATATTTCCCAAAATATTAACCAATTTTCAGGAAAATCGCTCTGTTGGTGGCATCTATTCCACTCGGAAAACATCATATGAAGAAGGAGGTGATTAAAATTAGTCTTGCTATTTAATTTGATAACAAATATTTGAAATCCGTTAAGAATTTACATTTTGATGTAATTAATTCAAAAAATGACTGACCACATTTATTCTAATAGAAGCGCAACCTCTAATCTACTATATATAAAAGAGCTGTGTCTGTCTGTCTGTGCGCACTATTTCTCCGTACTCAGCAAGGATGACTCGAATTATCTGATATGTGGCTTTTTCAAAAACTACATTGAGTTATTTATAAATAGCATACGATATGTACATCATGGGGAATCGAACTGTGAATTGAATGATATCAAAATTATTCTAATAGAAGCGCAACCTCTAATCTACTATATATAAAAGAGCTGTGCCTGTCTGTGTACAAATGACTTATAGTTAGTTTGACTTAGAATTTCATGTAGTTGGGCAACATGTTTTGAAATTTTTAAAAAACCAAAAGTGCCGAAGCGGGTGGAAGTAGAACCCGGATCGGGTAGGCTAGAGACAAGTGCGCTCGCACTGCGCCATTGACTAAAAGAGCCTGGCCGAGTGGTTAACGCGCGCGTCTCTCAAACGAACGGAAGAAAGAGGTCGCGAGTTCGACTCCTCTCGCTGCCAATTCTTTTGCTTTTTGCTGCTGCGAATTTTTGGTAGAAGCAATAACTATGGATATAGCTTAGTAGACCGAATACCCGGTGTTTTGAGTCTTTAAAGATATAGAAGGCTATATACGCATTTCCTTGAGCAAATTGGATTTTCAATCATTTGTTTTGCATAAGCAGTGGCAATTTTGATGTTTTTCTCGCAATTAATCAGTTTATTTGAATCAAATTTCTAAATTAAACTAGGTATTTAAATTCCGTCGAGCTTAAGTTAATTTCTGCCATAAAATTCTAAAAACTTTAAACAATTTGATGTTTTAGATTTTATTATCGAATCCTTTAGCAAAAAATCTTTCTTGCTTATCTTTTTCTTAGATTATTATTTGTAATTATTGGCTTAATCAGTAGCTTTTCTTCCATTTTCTGCATTGACTACGATAGTGATTGAAGTCGATGACTCCATTGAAATCAAGAATCATCCTTTTTTGATGAATGAATTGTTTTTAATTGGTTGTTACCTAAAGAGTTGAAAAGAGATTTCTAGATCGGGTGGGATAGATTGGATAGATTTCTAAAAATTCGTGCGTCACGAGGACTCGAACCCGTGACCTTTCGCTTACCGGGCAACTGTGCTAACCATTACAACAACTGTGCTAACCATTACATCAGAGCCCACTTAATCTCCCTGACTCCAAAGGGAATTAACTAAAGGTTTTCTTTCTACAAACTACTTCGTCATTTTTTTAGTCATTGAAAAATAGAAGCCCACCTCCAATAGAAGCAATTTTGTGGAATGATTGAAAAATAGAAGCGCATGCGTTTTTATGAAAACAAATACGGATTCAGGAAGCCACTAAGAAGAAGGACACGGACACGCAGCTGGTTTGGCGTCGTAGCCATAGCCGTCGTAGCCAACCGGATAGGAGTCGTCTCCTAGTCGGGGGGTTAAGGGTTCGATCCCGGCGGCTAGAAAGATTGGTTCTTTTTCCCATTATTATGGGTTTTTCTCTTAACAACATTTAGGCAATAGGGGTAATTAGGGGTAAAAATCTCCTCCGTTGTGTTGTAATTCATTATTCGTGTCGAATAAAATATACAAATAGAAGGGCTTGCGTTTTTATGAAAATAAATACGGATTCAGGAAGCCACCAAGAAGATGGACACGGGCACGCAGCTGGTTTGGTGAGAACAGGCAAATTCTTTGGTGGATTGTTTCAAGACATACGGTAGCGGTCGATTTTGATAAATGATAACTCAATTATAGCATGAAAGGTCCATGGTTTATGTCGGATTTTGCTGATTACTTCAGAGGGAGAATCTCACAATCCCTTGCAGCCACCGTTTTTCTCTTCTTCGCCAATTTAACTTCGATCATCACTTTTGGAGCCGTGATGGACAAAATGTTACATCATCAAATGGTTAGTTTTTTGTGTTATAAGTCATAAAGTCTTAAATTACTTTAAATGTTGACCAATAAGCTTAAAGCTACTTCTTTAGGCTACGATCGAAGCTATTCTTTGCGGTGGAATCAGTGGAGTGATTTTTGCATTGTTCTCCGGCCAACCACTCAATATCCTCTCTGCCACCGGACCAACTTTAGTCTTTGAAAAAATTCTCTTCGATTTTTGCCAGTAAGTTAACTTTTTAGTCAAAGTTCACCATGGTCGACTGGCTAAAAGCCCTGGATCTTAGTCGGGAGGATAAGGGTTCAATTCCGCCGGCCAGACTATTGATTCCCTTCCCATGTATAGGTTACGTCCGATCTAGAGTGAAGTCAGGTCAAACGTTCAATCTAGAAATCCGTCCGATTTCGACTGATTCTAGATCGACGATCAGATCAGATCTAAAGCAAAGTTGGGGCAAGCCTCCGATCTAGAATCAAGCCGATCACTCTAAATCTAAGTCTGGATTGAACGCCTGATTTAGAGTGATCGGCTTGATTCTAGATCGGACATTTGACCTCACTTCACTCTAAATCGGACCTCCAATCCAGAATCAGTCGAGATCGGACGGATTTCTAGATCGGACGGGTTTCTAGATCGGACGGATTTCTAGATTGGACGGATTTCTAGATCGGACGTAAAATATACCTGGGCTTTTTCTTTCCTACATTTAGGGTTTAGGATTTGTGCTTGTGTATTGTTTATACCACATTATTCGTGTAAATAATTGAATTTTTAAAGCAAAACAACTTTAGCTCAAACGGTTGGGACTTTCTGGAGTTCCGTCTATTGGTCGGCTTATGGGTGGCCGCAATGTTGATCACTCTCACAGCTACGGATGCTTCGGGTTTGAAAGACAAGGTTTAAATCTAAATTGTTTTAGCTCTTGTTGGCTTGATCACTCGATTCACTGAAGACGCTTTTGCTACTTTGATCAGTGTTGTTTTCATTATTCAGGTAAGTGGAGAAACGATCTCACGATACAAATTTCCCAGGCTTTCCAAAAACTGATGGCAATTGGGGACTCGGAAGCGGCAAAGTCTGCAGAAAAAATGGTAACAAAGATGAATAATTTCATTCTAAAGCTAATCAGCTTGTCCTGCTTTTAACCAATTATCAAATTCAGGCTGCTCTTGAGCAAATCAGGTGCAAGTGCTTCATGGAGTACTCAGAAGACAACGCTTCGACGATTAATTTCTTGTTCAATGGCACAGCCGAGGAACGTGAGCTATTCTCTATGAAATTTCTATTTAAAATTTTTACTCAGTGAATCAATAAACAATCCATCTCTATTCCAGAGTGTCAAGTCGGTTGGATCCACGAGTTGGACACGCAACACGACGTCTACATGCTCTCCATCGTTTTAACCTTTGGAACGTTCGGGCTCACCTATGCTTTCAAAGAGTTCAGAAAGTCGCCATTCTTCTCATCAAATGTAAGTAATGAATGAAAAAATAATACAATCAAAACATTTTCAGATTCGAAATGCCGTCTCTGATTTCGGTGTGCTGATCGCAATCGTTGTGATGACTGCCTACTCGCACTATGCTGGCGGTGACATTGTGCCTACGTTGAACATCCCGGATAGTTTCAGAGTAAGTTTATTGTAGAATTTACACTTGCACAAGCCTGTGGATTCTAATTCTAATGTGGATTTTAAGCTGTGGATTCTAAGTTGATTTTTAAAAAGTATTTGGACAAATGGAAAGTACAAAAGGATTTTTCCTGGTTTTAAGTTGACCAAATTGTAAAACTGATTGCGTGTTAGAGATTTAAAGGACTAGAATTCTATCTTCTAAAATGTTTTTTTGCGGTGAAATCCAAGTCAATCATCTTTCCAGCCCACCCAACACCGCTCGTGGCTAGTCCTTCCATTTGACATGCCTCTCCACGTCATCTTCATCGCCATTCTCCCAGCCGCTTTCTATACAATCCTCATTATTATGGATCAACAAATTACAGCGGTCATCGTGAATAGAAAGGACAACTTGTTGAAAGTTTGTTAAATCTTCGGTACTTTTTCTAGATTTTCATTTAGAAAGGCTTTGGCTACCACTTGGATCTGTTCATCATTGCAATTTTGGTCATTATCTGCTCTTTCCTCGGTCTACCATTCTTCGTAGCGGCCACTGTTCTATCAGGTAAGGTTATGAAGGTCTTTTAAATGCACTCAAATTAGCATATCCCAGTTTTGATAGTGTATAGTATTGATATAAAGTTGCTAAATTTCGTTGCAAGGCTATAATCGTCATTTGTACACTTTTTTGTTAATTTCAATCAAGATAAACATGCTATTTAAAAAGAAAAGCTCAATAATTTCAGTGATGCACGTTGATTCTCTTCGTGTGCAATCGGAAAGTGCAGCGCCTGGGGAGAAAGCTCAACTACTTGGAGTGAAGTAAGATATCTCATTAAATTAGGTTTTATTTTGTCATCACAAAATTATCAATGATATATCATAGTCTTTGATAGTTGTGCCCTATTCAAGATCAGAACTTTAACAGTTCCTTTCAGAGAACAAAGACTCACAGCCATCATTGCCCACCTCGCCATCGGACTCTCAGTTTTCTTGACTCCAGTGATCAAGGTGACTTTACAGGCTTTATAATCACAAATTAATCTTCTAACAATACCTTTATCTACTAGCAATTATTCAGCTTGTTCCAATGCCAGTCCTTATTGGAGTCTTCCTTTACATGGGAGTCGTTTCTCTACTCGGACAACAATTCGTTCAAAGAGTCGCCCTTTGGTTTATGCCTGTGAAACATCAAGTAATTGGATTCAAATTTAAAATACTCAAGTCTTTAGTTGAAAACTTACTGATTTATTAAGCCCGACTACACCTGGCTTCGTTGTGTGAAAATGAAAAGAGTTCACTTCTTCACCCTCATCCAACTGTTCTCCATTCTTGGACTGTTTGCTGTAAAGTACACGAAAACTGTCTCAATGGGATTCCCGTTAATGGTACAAAAGTTAGCATTCAAAAATGTAGCTAAATTTTTAGTTAATCGTCATGGTTTTGATTCGAATGTTCCCTCTTGAGAAAATGTTTTCCCAGCCGGAGCTGAAAGCTTTAGATGATCCAGTGCCAAAGATACAAGATGTGATGCGACCGAAAAGGAGAGCACTGAATATTAGGTTTCTAATTACTATAAGTAAAATTCAATGACTTGTAAGATTTTGAGAGTGAAAGCAAACAAAACTATGACTACATTATGCAGAAATGGAAAGGATTTAGGTTGATGTAGGATTAATTTAGCACAGAAAAGTTTCGAAGACTTTTATTTAGACATTTAGTCTTGGCGGCTCGTAATGTAAACCAGCTAAAGTAGTAAGTAAAAAAAGCTAGAAAAAAAAACGAATTTCATATTCGAAAGAATTAACTATTTTTGACCTGAAATAAGCTTTTTGTTTAGCACGGCTCATTTGATTGATGCAAGATCATTAAAGAGCATCAAAAAGAGCATCAAAAAAGCATCAAAGAGCGAGAGCACCAATTTTTTGAGCTTTATTTCATCTTTATCTGCAACTTTATTTGCAACTTTACCTTAACTACAACTTTTTAAATAACTCGAAAATGATTATTTCAAAAGGAATTAGACTCTATGAGAGTTCATTTTAAAGGAAAATGATTCGTTTTTCTAATAGGCACAAAAGTATGCATTTAAGCTTAACCCAAAAAAATTTCAAGCAATGAGATTCGGCAACCCAATCCGCGACCAAGAATCTTATCAAAAATCCCGATTTTGTTCATAATTGTCTAGCATGCCAAAAGTTTTTTTGCAGATTTGTTAGACAATGAAAACTCTATGTTTACGTGGAATATGATTTTTCGAATCTGAAATCCGTTTTGTTCTAGCTTTTTTAATCTTGATATAAGTGGATTTCTTTTCATGACGTCAAAACTTCTCAGGCATTCTTTAAAGTAAATATGTTCCGTCAAATCTATTCGATCTAGACTGATTCTAGATCGGACGTCTGATTTAGAGTGAAGTGAAGTCGGACGTACGTTCTAGATCCGATCTAGATTTGACGTCTGATTTAGAGGGATCGATTTGATTCTAGATCAGACATCCAATCTATTGGGTTGGTGAATTGAAAACTGCCGGACTTTGAGCTAAAATTTATTCAACATAAAACCATCAATTCATTCCAAATAATTTCCATTATTATTGACGACTTCTGCCCATTTTACAGGCAATTTGCGGATCCCTCTTTCGTAGTAGGCTTTTGGTTTGTGTGTGAGACAAGTGTGAGACTCAAAAATGGAGGACTGGAGATGTCAGCCGTCAGCCCAGTTTGAGCACTTTCTTCAAAAGAAACCCATTTTGGTGTCAATGGAAAAGTTGTAGAGAATCAAAAATTAGGCTTATAGTCAAATTTCCAAAAAGATACACTTCGTAGTTTCGCTTAAAATACAAGTTTTGTGAAAATTCGTAAATTTGGCATTTCTTGAAAACCAGTTTTTGAATGGTTCTGAAAATTTGGATATAAGCTTCATTTTTGATTCTCTACAACTTTTCCATTGACACCAAAATGGGTTTCTTTTGAAGAAAGTGCTCAAACTGTCACATAGGACAATAGCCCGTAGTTTTCAATTCACCAACCCAATAGAATCCGTCTAGATCCGATGAATTTCTCGATCGGACGTAACAGATACTTGTAGTGCTCGTTCCCTTGGCAAATGCCCTGCCTTTAATTGTCTTAAACCCATCAATGTTCGCTTTATCGATCTATGAGTGGTGAAAGAGGGCAATTGGTGAAAGCGTTCTGTTCTACTGCGATAGGACAAGCTTCTTTCCATCTCTCTAAGCTTCAAATTTCTGGCAAAAATCTTGTGCCTGTCAAGCTTGAGAAGTCAAACTGCATATCGTAGTTGATGTTAGACATTGGTAAACTGAAAAAGAACAATTTGCAATAATTTGAATCAAACATTTTAGTGGTGTCGAAAAAGGAAATTCCCCGTCGTCTCCCGAACAAAAACTCTTGCAAAACGAGCGGTGACAATGAAGAAATTTTAAGCGAAACTTTTCTTTTTTTTTGAATCAAAAGACTCCTTAAAAGATTCTTTACATTTCCCTCAAAAATCGCAATTTTTGGGTGTACCTTCACTTGTTTTTTGTTTTTTTTTTTTTGATTCGCATGTTTGCTCATGTCAGCTTTGTTGTGTTCGAACCAGGAAATTTTTTTTGAAAATAACTTTAAATCTTTATATAAAATCTCTTTTGATTTGCTTCAATTAACTTTTTGAATAAATGAATGAATATTTTTGAAAAGCAAAGCAACTTTTTTGAATTTTTTGTCTAAAATGGCTCTTGTTCCTGGGTTTTTTTGGCGAGAAACCGTTCTCTCTTGGCTTATAACTTTATTTAGAGACTCTTTTATGTGTAGCTTTTTCTATAGATCTATTGAAAACGTTTCAAATAACACAAAAAAACCTGTTAGGACTAGAAAATAGAAAAAGAAATCAATGCCTTTCAGCAAGTCAATTCCCAATTTACCCCAATTCTCTCATGCCTATCTCATCCAAATAAGTTCTTTTTTGGTATCATTCAAAATCTCACCAAGAACCAAGAAAGTTAAAGATATTTCGCTCTCCCGTTTGTCTTTGAATCAGTCAATCTACAGGGTGGCCGGACGTTATCGCCTCGCAGTTTTTGAGCTATATCTTGTCTTTGTAGCTTCGCGAACCGCTTTAATTCCTTTAATTTTCAAGATGTAAATTGCGATAAGTTTCTACGGAGAATTTCTTTATACAAATTGTAGGATACTTTTGAGATTTTTGTTAAAGGCTTGGAAGATGCGCCCAAAAAAAGCCTTGCCGCTCAATTGCCGCCTTGCCGCCGATTCAGGCTTTTTCTAGTTCATTTTAAAACGGAAATCAATTTATTCGCTTTTTCTGAAAATGAAATAAAGTGTTCAGCAGTGTTAATAGTGTTAAAAAACTTTAAATGCTATTTCATTAGTGCTTTCAACAAACGCCCGACATGTCCACAAATCGAGGACTAGGCTGGGCCTAGTATTCAGCAGGGTTGGACCAAAAAGCCGAGCCAAAATCGAAATTTGCACTGAAAAATTAAAAACTAAGATTTGTTACACAGAGTTTAACTCCTCTTTGCTTGATGGGTTCTTGCTGCCCCTACGGTACAACTGGGTACCTTGGGTTGATCAAAAATTCATCGCAGCAGGCCCCTAACGCACCTTTTCACGGGTACCTGGGATCCCATTTCAACCGGTGGAGAACCCACCTTTGTGGCCAAAATGAGCGGGAATTGTGTTGCGCCAATCCTTTGCCAAGGTTGGGATGCAGTGACCCTGTGAGGCTTATAACTGGATTTGACCGAGGCCTACCAGGTAATGAATAAACTTGAATGTAAATTGCAAGAGTTTCAATTTAGCTTACGATTATCAGTTCCACTAGTATCTATGGAATTAATTTTTACTTTTTGCATGATTACCTGCTCTGTGCTAATTTTTAATTTTTCAATGTAAATTTTGATTTTGGCTTGGCTTTTGGGTCCAACCCTGCCGAATACTAGGCCCAGCCTGGTCCTCGATTTGTGGACATGTCGGACGTTGGCTTTTGTTGAAAGCACTCGAAGAAACTTGCTCTCTTTGCTCCTCTTTGCTTGATAGGTTCTTGCTGCCCCTACGGTACAACTGGGTACCTTGGGTTGATCAAAAATTCATCGCAGCAGCCCCTAACGCACCTTTTCACGGGTACTTGGGATCCCATTTCAACCGGTGGAGAACCCACCTTTGTGGCCAAAATGAGCGGGAATTGGGTTGCGCCAATCCTTTGCCAAGGTTGGAATGCAGTTTTTTTTAAATGTTTCTAAAGTTTAATGATTGACACTAAAAATTTAAACACTTTTATCAAGAAAATTTCTTAAAAAGCACATAATTTTTCCTTTTAAGCTGCTGATCGAGGAGAACTGACAGTCAGTTGACGATTATTCGCAATTGACGGCTCTTTTCGCTTGTGAAGACAAATTATCATGATGAGGCTAAAAAGAACTTTTTGATGATGAATCTTTTTAGTCAGCTTAGTCAATTTTATTAGAATTCTTTTCAGCATTAAAGATCTAGGTCTCCGACAAAACGTTAACTATATTAGTTGCTTTAAAACTTTACTGTAACTGCATGAACCGTTCTATCAAAAAAAAATTTGTTTCAATTCGTTTCAATTCATTCATTTTAAAAACTCAGCACCTCTGTACAAAATTAAATAAGAAAATGTCGCTAAAATCTCTCAACCGCTCAAAAATCATATAACCGAGATAGTCAACGGAGACGATGCTGACGATAATGATAATGAGTTGAACAAGTATCGTGTCGGCGAGAATTATCGATAAATTCGATAGCATCTAAAAGCATTTCTTGTCTAAAATATAGGCTCCTGGGTTTTTTTTGACGGGAAACTGTTCTCTGTTGGCTTATAACCTTATTTAGAGACTCTTTTATGTGTAGCTTTTTCTATAGATCTATAGAAAACGTTTCAAACTTTCAAATAACACAAAAAACCTTTAAGCACTGGATAATAAGAAATCAATGGCTTTCGAAATAAGAAATCAATCCCCAATTTACCCCAATTCTCCCATGTCTATCTCATCCAAATAAGTTCTTTTTTGGTATCCTTTCAAAATCTCAAAAATCTTTTCGATAAAAGTACGCAAAATTTAATCAAGATACTGTCTCTAGATGAAATTAAGAACAATCGAAGTACGGCACAGCAGTCAAAAACCGAAGAAACGCCCATGAGCCGATGCCCCTTTCCTCTATTAGGTTAAGGAAAAGAATAATGCGCGTTTTTTGGGTTGTCGAAATCGTTGCTTCACTCGTTGGAGACATTTGTTTTTACAACAGATTTTCGATTCAGTTCAATCTCTTTTCCCTTATGTAATACATCCAGTTTCAGATGCTCGATTGCTCTTCTAAATTACTCTACAAGCGTATCCTCTTTTCTCAACGAATACAATATAAAAATGATAGCGAAATTCTGTCAACTTATGATTTCAATTAGGTAAATCTTGATCGTGATGTTTGGTGAGACCGATTTTTGTTTTTCAAACTTTGAACTACTTTAATCGTGTCTAAAAGAGCTCACAGTCAACCAATTCAATCATTTTTTGTGTCAAAATAAAGTAAAATCCTCAAAAATTATTAAGCTTGATTGAAGAAATATTGTTTTTGAAGAAAGTTATGAGCCTTTAAATGAGCGACAGACCCACCGGGGGCCCTTTGTCTGTTAGCTCATGTCAAACCCTTTCTTTAAAGCCATTTACGCTATTTTTTTCCAGGCCCGTACCCAGGGGGGAATGGGCAAGAGGAGCATTGGTTTCCCCCCGAAATTTTGGAAGGTCAGAAAATCACCATGTGGTTCCCTTACCATTTCCAAAAAATTTTCTTCTCAATTTTTTTCGGCGCTACTCGCCGATTGTTGTACAAAAACGTATTTTATCAACAAATTAGACTTTCAAAAGATTTTTTCTCGGTACGGGCCTGGTACATGGTTGTCGATTGTCTTCTGATCAACATTAAACATTTCTGCAAACTTGCCAGTGATGTGTTGAAGTCAATTTCAATTCCCCAATGCGAAATTGAAAACGCGCATTATTTTTTTCCTTAACCCAATATTAACTCACCTGCAACATCAGCAAACGTTCGGCTTTTGTCGTTCGGTTGTGTTTGTTTAGCTGAAGATCTTGAGATTTAGAAGATTAGCATAAAACATTATAAACAACCATTATAACCGACAGAAAAATGAAAGATGATTTTTGAATAAAAAGAAAAATGAAAAAAACAGATAACCTCTTTCATTTTTTGGTTTGTTTGCAAATCCAGGGCACAGGCGAATAAGAAAATCGCCGGATAAATATGCTCCAGAAAAAAATAACCAAATCCTTGCGATAAAAATGCGTTCAATTTTTGGAGTCCAATCGAAAAGAAATAGGGAAATAAAAACTGAACCCAAGGCCATTTTTTGGTATGGTAGAAGAAGAGTCCATTGAAGGAAACGGCAAAAAAGCGACTGAAAGAAATAAATGTTAGATTGTTGTTAGATTTCGGATATTGTCATGTTTTTTTTTATCAAAATGAAGGAGAATGTTTAGGGAAGATTTAACTAAAAAAAATAGAGAAAATGGCTTTAAAAAAAAATACCGACTGGGGCTACCAGTGGTGAATTTATCGCATACACGAAATATATCAATCACAATACAACGACACACACAATACTAGGCTATATCTTAACTTAACCCACGTCATGACAGACGGCTCCCTAACCCTAAGCTCAATGGGGAACTAAATAGCTTTTTTGGTGGTGAAGGGAAGATGACGATGAAGGAGTGGCTTGTCACTTTAAAGAACTGGGGCCACAACCACCAGACTGCCCTCCAGAAAACCTCTCAACCCGAAGGGAAAGGAGATCCGAAGGGGGTGACCATGTCGCATGTGGGGTTCGAACCCTCGACCTTCCGATTAAGATAAAAGACACTTAACCAGTCAGCCACACGGCTTTAAAGAAAGTGTTTGACATGAGCTAACAGACAAAGGGCCCCCGGTGGGTCTGTCGCTCATTTAAAGGCTCATAACTTTCTTTAAAGACAATATTTCTTCAATCTGTTTTTGGTTAAATAATTTTTGAGGATTTTACTTTATTTTGACACAAAAAATGATTGAATTGGTTGACTGTGAGCTCTTTTAGACACGATTAAAGTAGTTCAAAGTATGAAAAACAAAAATCGGTCTCACCAACATCACGATCAAGATTTACCTAATTGAAATCATAAGTTGACAGAATTTCGCTATCATTTTTATATTGTATTCGTTGAGAAAAGAGGATACGCTTGTAGAGTAATTTAGAAGGGCAATCGAGCATCTGAAACTGGATGTATTACATAAGGGAAAAGAGATTGAACTGAATCGAAAATCTGTTGTAAAAACAAATGTCTCCAACGAGTGAAGCAACGACTTCGACAAATTTGTTGACACTTTCGGCA